ATTGAGATACGCTATTTGATTTTGTGTTTGCCGATCGAGGCTTAACGAATATTGGATTATTGGAAAACATATGAAATGAGAATTCTAATTTTAGAAAGGTTGCGCTAAATGTAGATGTTGGGATCATGCAACTACGAAAAAAGTACACCTTTGTTATGTCTTTCAAGAGTATATAGAAAACGTAATTGGTGCGAATTATTGTAATGATAAAAGCGTTTATAAAACAAACGTAGGGCAGATCATTAAAGCGTCACTTGATTGCGCTCGAACTACTGTACATCTGTATAAGTAACGTAATTTCTTTTTCTTTTCTTTTCCAGTATTTATAAACCGACTTTTGTTTGTAGACAATAAAAAAGAAGTGTACTGTGTGACACTTAATTGGTATATACAGTAGATAACTTCAAAATAATATCATGATGGCTGTCTAATATATGGGGCTTAAAGTAATTAAGAACATAGCATAATTAGTACATTTTTATTTGCTGCTCACCACAATGATTGTACAATCTACTAGATGTTTTCGGTTGATAACATATCAATTTCAAGTAGTACATGTATATACATTTATTTACAAAATTCAATCTGTTCGAACATTCAAATTGTGTATTTAAAAAATTTACAAATGCTGTTAAAAATAACAAAAATATTTTACATGGCAAAATGTATTTCAATGCACTATATATTCATAGGAGTATTTATCAATTATTATGTAAACAATTTTGTTGTGAAAAGTAAACAAATAATCACTCTTAAATGACCCGTACCTTGTAGAATAATATATTTTACTAACCACTATAGTTTTCAAAATTCTACACAGATCTAGATTCCCTCATTGTTTTGTATACCAGATATCCTTATATAATACTTAATATTATATAGATATATGAAACTAAACATTCTGGTTCAGACACTGCCTACTCTTCAAATTTTATCTCAAAAGTTTGTTACAGGTCGTTTTGCAATCCATTCTTTTACTTTCGGAAGACTTGCAGTCTTGTCAAGGTTTGCTTTCAACTTCAAGTACTTGGCCACTACATCATCAGGTAGTTGTACAACACCTAATATTGCGAAGATTTGAAGATCTGCCAGCGAAAACTAAAAAAAAAAAAAAACATTGGTAACCGTGATAAACATACACGCATCAATGCGCAATTTCCGCTGAAAACTTACAAACAAACAAACAGACAAACTAACAAACAAACTCACTCACTCATTAATAAATATAGTTTTTTTTTTCAAAAATCGTTTAAAATACTTTACATTTAAGACAATGTACTAAAATAGAACAGACACTTTTATCATACATTACTATTACGATTTGATTTCAACTGCTTCAATTCTTAGTTTCACAGAGGTCTGTTAATTAGAAATAAAGAAAAATATGCATTATAGTAGTTAACAGTATACTCATGTACATACCGATGATCCGACTTTTAAGTAGACGTGGTGCTGTGTTTTCATTGAATTCTTTTTCCATTTCAGCCTTAAACACAAATTATATGAATTAAATGTATGCATAAACGTTAAACACAAATAAATAGGTAATGAGAACAATAAAGTATTTTCTAAAGCATATTTTTTTCTACAACAATAATTTTATTGTTGAGGAACTCATCAACTATTGTTAATTTTGCCCAAGATTGTTTTAACCTATTACTTCATAAGCATTTTGTGAAAAATGGCTGTTTTCATTGAAAAGTCTCCCGTTACAAGTTCAAATTGCTATAAAACTATAAAAACTGCTTCAATTCTAACCAAACTTGGCACAAATGTTGACTGGACCATTGCCTTTGTAACAACATGCTCAGACTTAAATTCCCTGTTACCATGGCAAAATTGCCAAAAATCACTATTTTGCGTTGATTTTAACCATCAATATTGATTTCAAAGTGCTGCAACTTCTCAATGGATTGAGATAGAGTCAAATGCTTTTCAGCGTTGGTTACACGTTACCTTATGATCAATCTGGGTTCATTTTTAGCCTCGCACAAGTCCAAAATTTTCCTGACGATGAGGGGGACTGCCGTTCCCTTCAAAGCCCCCAAACAGAAGGGGGCTTATCCCCCTTCTGGCAACCCCCTTTGGTTTCTTTGGTTTTGTTTTATCGATTTATTGCGGGTTGGTACAATGACATGGTTTAGAAATGCGTTTTTACACGTAGAAATCGAGTGTTGACAGGATGCACAGGTTGTTGTCGACCTAGCAAAAATACGATGACCCATCCGAAATATTGGTTTGTTGTTCAAAAAACGGTTTAAGTGGGAACAATAATGTTAATGTCAACGTCTAGTCATGTCATTTAGCTGCAAATTGATATATAACTTAATATGATTTACGTAAAAACGACTTTGCAATTTTTACTTATACTGGACTAGTGGCATTTTGTCGATTTTGCGAGTTCAACCCCTTGTCTATATATTACATACAAAATAAATATTTTCTTCTAGAATTACTTTTTTACATTATCCCAACACTGTGCCGGTTCCCTATGACTTAAACGATACAAGACAATTTCTCATTTTTGCCTTTCGTAAAATATTTGAATGGGGAGCCCGTTGACAAGCGCCAGTAAGGAGAAAGAATCACCTACAGAGCAAATGGCAAAATTAACACAAAAGAAGGTTACTCATGTAACACACGGTGTTCTTATACCAAATCACAATACAACTATTGGCGAAGAGCACTTCACTCACAAATGGGATAATGTTGGGTATAAAAAGCGTCAACTCGTTTGTAATGCTTAGTCCAGTAGATTCTTTTTGTAATTTTCAGTTGGAGAAGTGTGGTTTGACCTTTCCATTTAGGACCTGCAGTATAACAAACGGGATGTTATAATGGTACAAATGCCCCAAATCTCCCTGGTAACGATGTTTGATATCTTTTAAAAGACGCTGAGTGGGGTGGAATACGGCGAAACCCACCGAAGAGGTGACACTCGTTTATCATCTTGATTAATTCCAAAGATTCCTGGTGATAACCGTTATTACGTAGGACAAACAATATATATTTAATCATTCAATTTTATATTCGTATACATGTACCATGTAAATTAGTGAGGTAACTTGGCTGTCAATTACAACTCTTCTTTCTTAATGTACTTTGTTCAATACATACTTCAAATCTGACATTAGAGCTACATCGGCAAGTCAATAGAAAAAAACCCCGACACTTGCATATCTTGACCTCAAACTAGAAATAGTAACAACTTTTTCTCCATACAGTAACAAGAATAACCTCCATATTAGAACCCTATTGTTCTTGTCTTATCTTTGACTTTACACGATATATCTGGTTAACATTTTGTATTTTTTAAGTTATGATCTTTATAATTGTCTGACTTCTCTATATCTACTTTAGATCATCGCATACCAAGTCCAGCACTTGAATTCCACGTTTCTGCCTGTAAAACATGTACTTCTATAAAATATAATATCAATACTCATAAAATGTATACAAGTCTTATAAGACTCAAATATTACATAAAAAAATGCAACATTATTTTTTACCTTTTTTTTTTTTTTGATCGAATGGTGGAAGAAGACCTCAGGGGCCCCTCCGTGCATTATTTTAGGGCACAACAGTAGAATCACTGACATTCTGTAAGTTACTTGGACAGCTTTCTCACATAATAGGAATATAATTAAGTCCCTGAAAATATTCAAACTGACAGTGGTGAGGGGCCAGTGGTTTGAAATCAATGACCGTTACCACTCAACTGATACCCTTTATTATTTTCTATAGCTAGGTAAGAAGAAGTACCCCAAGAACATGTTTTGATGCATTAATTGGGTCTCCATCAATAATTCATATACAGAGCACAAAATGCAAAGTCCAGTCTCACGTCTTCGAACTTCTTTCTAGCGACCACAAGGACGTACCAGTCTTATTACTTCAGCTCGCCCTATATGGCATTAAAGTATGTTAACTTTATTTCAGGCATATAATGATTTTACTGATTTAATTAAGATTTTACTTTAAACAGGTAGTAGCTTTTATAAAGGTTAATTGCTTTTTTGCAAAATTTAGTTTTTCTCGCATCTTTATAGAGGTCTTCCGTTATATTAAAAATTATAACATTAAAGAACAATTTTAGCCAAGATACCATACTTTCTGATCGATCTGCGCGTCCTTGTTAACTGTCCTCAGTTTTCATTAGCTTGATTAATTCCGAAGATTAACTGTTATATTATCGTTGATAACCGTTATTACCATGGACAAACAATACATATTTTATCATTAAATTTTATATTTGTATATATGTACTATTTAAATAAGAGCTCGTATATAATGTAGATAGCGGCATATGTCAGTTCTAATTGATTTTGGGAAACATGTTGTTTTTATAGTTTACAATTTATATTAATAAAAAGATGCCCAGGGTTACTTAAGGTGAAAACGGGGAAATTGGTTACGTTATGAATTATTGTTATAATAAATAACAATAAATGACTGGGAAGGGCTTAAAGCAGCACGCCTACAGAATCATGCTAATTTTCATGAAAATTTAGAAAATGTATTTGAATGTGTAATATTGTGATTTAACCCAAAGAAAGCAATTGACACATTATCAATGGCACTTACAAACCACGTTAAGTACAAAAAAAGTTGTCAAAATATGCAATAATAGCCTTTATTGCGTTAGTAACGCTGTAGAAACGAATATAGCTGCAAATACTGAAAAATCAGTCATTAACCGCACTTGACATCTAAAATATAACTTGAATCTTTAAACTCTTTACTTTTCATTACATCTTAGTACCTTTTTCTCAAGTTTGATTTTATTAAAATATTTTGACTCATCTGGAGGCATGTAGCTGTAATCTGCTAATATTGCTTCCAACCCATTTGCCTTTTGTTATATACTTATCATTTGTATTATATTTTGTATGTACTGCAATAATATATGTTTAAAAACTGATAAATGACTCTTTCAAAACAACAATATTAAGCGGGGAAAATGACACAACAGCTTGTATTGCCGACTGGTATAATGCTGTATTTTTCTGGCGTATATAAAAGATTGTGATTCCAAAAGTTAGACAGTGATATAGTCAAAACGACTATTTACGTTGCAGTTCATACAAAATGAAGCACTTTGCGATTTTAGTTATTTTTGCAGCGGTCACCATGGTAACAGGCGGAGTTTTGGTTGGTGCACCCGAAAAACAGTCCACTAGCGACAGACCTCTTCGACGAATGGCAGAGTTTGCTGTTGGGGAGCTTGGATCCGAATATGAACTAGTTCGAGTTGTTTCGGGTACGAAACAGGTATTCATTAAAATTATTTACATGTATTTGTTTGGTTGGGTTTTTTTGTGTGTTCTTTTTACGTTCTTATTTCTGAAGACTGGTCACCTGGATGATTATCCAAACAAAATTATTTTTTATTTTTTTTTTATTTTTTATTTTTTATTTTTTTTTTTTTTTTTTTTGGGGGGGGGGGTGAATTTATTTTGTACATATATCAACATTTAAACATTTTTTTTTAAATTAGCTTTAAAAAATATTTCCTCTATTTCAAGTATGTGCCGTACCCCTATGGTTCAAATCATAAGTACTTGATGGCAAAAAAAGCAAGAAAGTTTGTTTGATCGACTACCCGTCAAAAACAGTTCCTATGGTTCAAATCTGCAAGTATACTGTATGTCGTAGAATGATCATTCATTATCAAATGTACCTTGTTTTTTAATATACCTTTGAATGAAATAACCGAGTCATAAATACAAAAGATTCTCTGACATCTTATTCTAAATGAATGCCGGTATAATGAATATTTCTTGCAGACCAATAAATAATGCAAATAACGAAGAAGAAAACTTTTTCATTTACAAGGAGTATTTGTCGAAGAACAAATGTGGCATCATTAAAACAATGTAATTCAATTTTGAATAAATATTTGCTGATGTCATAGGAAAGTTACTGTTGCCGTCATACAAAAGATTGTGCATTTTTCTTTTCATTTTTCAAAGCTTCATAGAGGGTATTTGGTTGTTTGTGTGCAAGATGAAATTTTATTTCATCGAGTGGGCTTTAAAAACAGTAATACTGTTTTTAAAGTTCACGAGATGAAATAAAATTACATCTTACACAAGAAACAAACAAATTTTCTGTTTATGTTATGCTTAAAAACAAGTTAAAACGAATTTTCCATAATATTAACATTAATATTAAAATCTGTTTTCCCCATTGAGAGCCCCATTTAGTCAGAGTTTCTCATTAAATACAAGAAGTCTTGAGCTGAAAAATAAGTTCGACAATCAACGTTAAATGACGGTGATATTATTCATTTTATTTAAAAAAATATGAATGATCGCTTGTTTTAATAATAAAAACAAACAATTATTGTAGGAGAAAAAGTCCAACCATCCATCCATATCTCTGTTACTTATTGCGAATTTAAATTAGACCTGGCTTTGTTAAATGTAAGCGGCAGCCATTTTTTAAAGTTGTGTATTTCACGGGAGGAAAATAATTGTGTCTGATTCAGAGGGATATCATGTGGATTTTTTAGTCATACACCGTTTATAAAGAAAGAACTTATTTGAGGATTGTAACAGACAAAAAATAAGTGTTGACAGATGTGAAAACATTCAAAAAAGCAGCTAGGACAATGGAAAACTTGGATGCTGACTCAGGAACGCTGGGTTGTTTACTTATTCTACGAGCTGATGGCTGTCATTGCTTTTCAATTTTTCATAAAGCATACGGCAGTTATTGCTCGTAGGATACTTTAATATGCCCAAATGTCATCAAGAGCAGTTTTGCATGTGGAAGGAATGTATTTTTCAGACTGTAAAAATGAAACAAAAAAATTAGAGACGAAATTTGGTGATTGGAATTTGAATGACTAGAAGTAGGTTTTCTTCTTTTTATTACTTTTGACATTTAATTTATTTATCCATTTCAGCTTTGCTTTTTCTTTAAACAGCCTGACATTGTCAGAATTGTCAGCAAAAATAAAATTGAGGTACCACATGGGGAAAATCTTAAAAAAGTAGTTTCGTCATTAAAAGTGTGAAATTATATTTTGATAATTTTCACTGTGAAATTATAAAATATAATTTTCACGGTGAAATCAGTAATCCACTGAAAAGCATAAAATAAAATGAATTATTTAAAGGTCACCTTCTGGTAGATAATTACATCTAAGGATGTCAGTGAAAAGGGCAGATGGACCCCATTTAAGCCAAGAATACATACGTGAAGATAAGGACGTAAATGCAGGAACGAGGATAAAGTGTATTAAAATTAGATAAAAAATAAAACAAATACTGAAAAACATGTGTTCTTTTCCAGGTCGTGAATGGCTTTATGTATAATATTGAACTGATTGTTAAAAAGGTGATTCCAGGAAGGGTAAATTACTTTTGTTTATTTTATTGATCCTAAATATCTCGCATCGTCGGATACCATGAGATCCTCGATGAACTGTTGAAACACGCTTTTCTCGTGTTACATTTTATTTTCATAAAATATATTTTTGCCCTATACAAAACCTTGCAATATAAAAATCGCATTGTGTACAAACCAGTAAGTTATTGTGGATGGTGTGTGGTGTGGTCTGTCAATCCATTTCAACGCCCGCACTTGTTTCATGAAATGAAATAAGTTAGGCTTTTCATTTCATTCGTTTTACTGGCAATATCAATTCATGTTTCCACAAAAATCAAACGCAAGTATTGATCGAGTAGTCTAGTCACATATAGTTTTTTTTTATTTGATGTTCCAGTAAAAAATGTTTATTTTGCGTATATGTAACAGGATGGTGTGTTTCTGTTTATTTTTATGTTTGTAATGTCTATTTCGTTCATTCTTTAGTCATAAATAGCTCTACCAATAATGGTTGTCCCTGTGTCTTAATTATTATAAATCAATCAGATGACGAAGTGCTGATATTTACTCAACCAATATTTACACTGTCACATATTGCACGATTTCAGAAGAACCAAAGACGACGCTGTAAGGTGTTGGTTTATGAAATAAGACACCAAAGATACCTCGAGCTGGAAGAATTCCACTGCCACTTTAGTAAGAAGGCACCGAGACTTTAATTTACCTGACACACGCAGAATTATTTTAATCAAGATTTCTTTTACATGTAAATCATGCATAACTTATAAATTGAACAGATTACATGTAGAAAAAGATTTACAATTACCTCAAGTTACATACTTTGTTCTTCATTATAGATAGTTTTAGAAAAAGACTAACTAAATAAATGATTACAAGGTATTTTTGTCGTTTCTTTTAGTATTCAGAATTTCAATAAAATGTCAAAAATAATCTTGAATTAAATTCAAATATATATACATAGTTGAAGAAAAAAAATACACCTTTAAATGAAAAGTCCACAAATCAGTGCAAATAATCTTTATTTAAACAATTTTGTTTCAACCTATACTCCAAATCTCGTTTGCCAACTTCATGCCCGCTCCGGAGGATTGATTTATATGGCCACCTAACTTGGCTAGCACAAAGCCACAGTTTATTTGTGATGTAACTGGGCTATCGATCAATTCCCTAGCTTATTCTCTAAATGTTTTACACACAATTCATATCTGTCACTACAAGTTACTGAGCAAGTTAATAGAAATGTCCCTGACACTGTTGCATATCTTGATCTAAAACTTAAAATACAACTCTTCCTCCATACAGTGACAATAACAAGTCCAGCATACACATTATCCATGTCTCTAGGTGGTTATATTATAAACAATTTACAAACATAGCCCTAATGCGTTTGCTATAGTATTTTAAGAATGGAGCTAGTTGACAGGACCATAACTGTTCCACCCAGAATCATTTACAAGTTCTTCCCTCTCGCTGACAACTTCTGTCCTCAGAACGCTTAAAATTTCTGTTAGGCGACATATCATCTCGGCAAAATTCCATTCCTCTCCTCTGAGAAACGCATCGTAGTTCGCCAAGGCTGTTTTGAAAATTTCATCATCAATTTTACATTTGATAACCTCAATCTTTGGTTAAATACATTCTTTATCTTCATCAGGAAACGATTCTGTGTAAATACAATTATTTTTGTACTGAAACGGAGTGATCTATCAATCTGTATTTCATAAGGAGCGAAATAAGCTGATACTCTGTGAAAGTTAATCTTCATACACATGCTTAAATAACACTTCGACTACCAGAATGATGAAACGATGCTTTCAAAGCAATAGGTACATCCTTACCTCTTTTGAAAGAAAGCATAATATAAGCATTATATAGCTACCTTTAAATACATTATAAGAACTTGACAATGCCTGCAAAGTATTTTCCATTATTGCCACCAGGTCCGATTTTATGTCATTTGCCTCCTGCGATGAACTTACGTCTGGTGATTCTATCAAATCTAAGAACATTTTTATCGGACAGTTCTCAGTGACTTCATCATCTAAATCCTCTAACCAATGATCTGGAGCTTCCATTTCAGAGTCTGAATCAGGTTCGTTAGGTATTTCACTCGCTTGCAGCTGACCGACGTTTTCATGCAATGAAACTTCATCTGTATCTATTGTTTTTGAACAGTCGGACCAACTCACGTATGGCCAATTTGGCCGAACATTTTTTCTACTTGAATAGCATTTGGTAGATTCATGAGTAGCCATTATTAGAAAGTATAAATCCTAGAATCCGAATCACTTGAACTTTGGGGATCAAAGCAATCAGAAAACGAGAAACCCAATTTCAAAATTGTATGCAGTGAACATTTAACTACACAAAACAACTACATGTATGTACAATTTTACGTTATATATTCTATAGGTCTTTTTATAAACATGAATTTAACATGGTAAGATTGAGATACGCTATTTGATTTTTTGTTTGCCGAGGCTTAACGAATATTGGATTATTGGAAAACATATGAAATGAGAATTCTAATTTTAGAAAGGTTGCGCTAAATGTAGATGTTGGGATCAAACACGAAAACAGTACACCTTTGTTAAGTATTTTAAGAGTATATACGTAATTGGTGCGAATTATTGTAATGATAACAACGTTTATAAAACAAACGTAGGACAGATCAGAAAAACATCACTTGATTGCGCTCGAACTACTGTATAAGCAACGTAATTTTGTTTCTTCTCTTTTCCAGTATTAATAAACCGACTTTTGTTTGTGGACAATAAAAAAGAAGTGTACTGTGTGACACTTGGTATATACAGTAGATCTTATTCTTTAACTTCAAAATAATATCATGATGGCTGTCTAATATATGGGGCTTAAAGTAATTAAGAACATAGCATAATTAGTACATTTTTATTTGCTGCTCACCACAATGATTGTACAATCTACTAGATGTTTTCGGTTAATTACATATCAATTTCAAGTAGTACATGTATATACATTTATTTACAAAATTCAATCTGTTCGAACATTCAAATTGTGTATTTAAAAAATTTACAAATGCTGTTAAAAATAACAAAAATATTTCACATGGCAAAATGTATTTCAATGCACTATATTCATAGGAGTATTTATCAATTATCATGTAAAAAATTTTGTTGTGAAAAGTAAACAAATAATCTCTCACAAATGACCCGTACCTTGTAGAATAATATATTTTACTAACCACTATAGTTTTCAAAATTCTACACAGATCTAGATTCCCTCATTGTTTTGTATACCAGATATCCTTATATAATACTTAATATTATAATTATAGAAATATGAAACTAAAAATTCTGGTTCAGACACTGCCTACTCTTCAAATTTTATCTCAAAAGTTTGTTACAGGTCGTTTTGCAACCCATTCTTTTACTTTCGGAAGACTTGCAGTCTTGTCAAGGTTTGCTTTCAACTTCGAGTACTTGGCCACTACATCATCAGGTAGTTGTACAACACCTAATATTGCGAAGATTTGAAGATCTGCCAGCGTAACCTAAAAGAAAAAAATAACATTGGTAACCGTGATAAACATACACGCATCAATGCTCGATTTCCGCTGAAAACTAACTAACAAAGAAAAAATACAAACATACAAACTAACAAACAAACTCACTCACTCGCCCATTCACTCATTAATAAATATAGATTTTTTTTCAAAAATCCTTTAAAATACTCTACATGAAAGACAATGTGCTGAAATAGAACATACACATTTATCAGACATAACTATTAGATGTCATTTCAACTGCTTCAATTCTTAGTTTTACACAGAAATAAAGAAAAAAAATGCATTATAGTTGCTAACAGTATACTCATGTACATACCGATGATCCGACGGCGAAGCCGGAACTTCCTCTGGAAGATATAGCATCATCCAGACTTTTAAGTAGACGTGGTGCTGTGTTTTCATTGAATTCTTTTTCCATTTCAGCCTTAAACACAAATTATATGAATTAAAAGTATCCATAAACGTTAAACACAAATAAATTTAGATAATGAGAACAATAAAGAATTTTCCTATACATAGATTTGCTTTCTACAAAAATAATTTTATTGTGGAGGAACTCATCAACTTTTGTTAATTTTGCCCAAGATTGTTTTGAACAACAAAATTATACATTGAATTATGCACAGTAACTCTATGAAGGCTAATAACGTCACAAAGGATATAAATCTATACTAAATGAAATACAATGTATGAAAAATCTGAATTGCATTTGGCCCTTATAACTCAATTGACTGAATCACAAATTACTTCGGTGGTAATATTACAAATAAGAAGATTAATTCTTCAATCATTTCCAGAACAAACTCATTTATTTTCGATTTTTTAACAAAGAGGGATACAACTTAAAAAGGGATACAGAAACCATTCCAATGTTTTTAAAGTTATAAGTTATTTCTATCAATTAGATAGAAAATAAGCTTTCCAAATTCTTTAAAACATTTGAAAATTTACCTTTCTCTTCTCATCTTTTTCTTTACTTTGCGGTGCTTTACTGTTCAACAATTCAGAAGCAATGTCAACAATTTCATCAATGTACAGACCTTCTAGATTAGTCTTACCATATAGACCTGAAATGATAAAAAAAATAATGATAACTATTTTAACTGTATGTAAACTATTAACCACAGTCCCGTCATCTTTGATATTAAAAAAAAAACTTAAAGCAAACAAAAAACTGTAGAATGTTTCTTATAATTTGTTTCAGTGCATATCTTGAACTTCAGTGGGAAGCTTCAATACTTTAAATTTTCATTAAATCGCTCGTATTACAACTAAAGGTATTTGTATAAATTTGTTTCAAAACTTCATAACACCGACCGCATATTTAATAAATTTAAGAGAAAATAAATCAATCATTTCACTTAAAATATCAGTAGGTCGCTCTTAACTTTACTCTTTTGAATAAACGAAATCTTACCGTTTTCTCTAGCAAAGTATCTAGCTATTGCAATACTCTGGCCAGCTTTAGTTTTTCCGCCAATTGTAACATAAGGCAGCGTTCCTTGTGGTGCGTCTGTAACAAAAGTGAAAAAAGTTAACAAAAAAGTTCATCACTATCACACTATCACATGTATTATTGTTTCCTTCCTCGTCATCATCACTGGTCAAATAGCATGTCTTCTTATAAAATGTCCGAAACCATTGAAAAGAAGTCATAAAACCGAGTTTAAACTAATGAAAAAAATCGTAAAATGTCACGCATTGACCCTTGATATCATGTACATGAATATAAACAGACAAATGCCATACCAAATAATTAAACAGTGTAAAATCCCCACTTACTTTTCTTTTCTTCGGCCCACTTTCCAAAGTCCAGTCTCACGTCTTCGAACTTCTTTCCAGCGACCGCAAGGACCAGTCTTATTACTTCAGCTCGTCCTCTGCCATTGAAGTATGTTAACTTTATTTCAGACATGATTTAATTCAGATTTTACTTTAAGCGGGTAGTAGCTCATATAATGGTAAATTGGCTTTGTGTAAAATTTAGATTTTATCGCATATTTATAGGGAGCTTCAGTTTAGAAATGAGAACATTTTTTAGAACATAATAGAACAAATTTTTACAGTCCTATTTAGCCCAGATACCCTACTTTCTGATCGATCTGCGCGTCCTAGTTCACTGTCATCCGTTTTTATTAATTATTGTGCGTGTGCCACGTGTATTGAATGAACACAATATAGCAGAATAGGTATAAATTGAAAAATTATAAAGGTGATTCATTCATGAATAGATCAATTATCTCAGCCGGAGTTTAAAAGCTTCAATATGTACAGTTTAACACAATTTGTTATAAAGCATAAAACAATTAACCAGGTAGAAAATCCAAGGTTCAATACTGAAACACTAATGGTGTTTCAAATGAAACCTTAAAAACTGAAGAACAAGGATCTCATCTGACACCTGTTGAATAATAGAAACAACTAACAATCTTCAATGGGCGTCGCAAATATCAGCAACCGAACTACCAAAGGCAATTCTGAGCAGTTATACCGGAGAACAAAGCAGTACGACCCTTGTATAATGATGCGGTCTTAATATCGAACTCAGAAGTAATAATGACATTTAAAATAAAATATTCGTTTATCTTTTTATATTAATTTATTGATTTTTTTAAAATACATGTATATTTTTGAGAAAAAAATTCTCGTTTATACTGTCATTTCTATAGTACATTTTAACGATGAGGTGTTTTTGATAATCTTGTGGTGACAGGTATTACATACATAGAGGATAATTGTTTATCAATCAGCAGATCAATGAAATACTTAAGTATGGTGGCATATATCTGCCAACAGTTAATAACCAAGGAATAAGTCTGAGAATTATCTTAAGTTTTGCATCTCTTCAGTATAGTATGCAGATATGCTGTTTTTGTGTGCAAAACTTATTTGTAAATTTGTTTGTTTAATTTGTCAATTCCAAAATTAACTAACTTCACTATCATAGGTATTTTATTTTAATATACATGTTCATGTAATATAACGTAGACGTTATTTGTTGGTTTATTTGTTTTGTTACGTTTTAATGTGATTACACGAATCTTACATTCTTATAAATTCTTCCAGAAAAGTCGGGAAATGTCGTAAACCAGGACACAGATATAAAAAATGACAACAAATAAATGACAATACGATTAATGGAAGCATATATTTTGAACCGGGCACGTAATTGCTGAACGCGTCCTGCTTTAAAGTTCTACATTTTATGACAAAGGAATATCGATACAAGTTATAGTACGTGGATTCATTCGTTCCTGTTACTGATATTGTGATAATATTTTCAATACCATGAATATATAGTCATGACTAGATGAATATTAACTTAAACAAGACAAGACAATTTCTCATTTTTGCCTTTCGTAAAAGATTTGAATGGGGAGCGCGTTTAGAAGAGCACGCCACTCACAAATGGGATAATGTTGGGTATAACAAGCAGTGAACTCGTTTTTAATGCTTCGTCTAGTAGATTATTTTTGTAATTTTCAGTTGGAGAAGTGTGGTTCGACCTTTCCATTTAGGACCTTCAGTAAAACAAACGGGATGTTATAATGGTACAAATGCCCCCAAACCTCCCTGGTCATGATGTTTGATATCTTTAAAAAGGCATTGAATGTGGCGGAATACGGCGCAACCCACCAAAGAAGGTGACAGCCGTTTATCATTATGATTATGATTAATTCCAAAGATTCCTGGTGACAACCGTTAACAATACATATTTAATCATGAAATTTGATATGTGTATACATGTACCATGTAAATAAGAGCTAGTATATAATGTAGACAGCGGCATAATAATGTCAGTTTTGATTGATAGTTGGAAACATGTTGTTATTAATAATATTTTTAAAAAATAATGCCCATGGAACCAGTGAAGTTGGTAACGTTCTGAACTAAGCTAATGAAAAGTCATTTACGCTATTTACAAAATGCCGATCTGTCAGACATAATAATTAATAACTTGAAAGGGTTTAATCTAATGTTGCTATAACTTTTTTGCCTTAACCCATTTGCTTTTTGTTATATACTTATCACTATATTTTACATGTATGTGCTGCAATAAAATATGTTTAAAAACTAATAAACCACTCTTTCAAAACAACATGCTACATGTAAATATAGCGGGGAAAATGACAGCAATTTGATGGACCAGCTTTCGTTTGACAACAGCTTGTATTGCCGTCTGGTATAATGCTCTATTTTTCTGGCGTATATAAAAGAGTGTGGTTCCAAAAGTTAGACAGTGATATAGCCAAAACGACTCTTTACGTTGCAGTTCATCCATAAAAAAATGAAGTACTTTGCGATTTTTGTTATTTTTGCAGTGGTCGCCATGGTAACAGGCGGAGTTCTGGTTGGCGCACCGGAAGGACAGTCCACTAGTGACAGACGTCTTCAACGAATGGCAGAGTTTGCTGTTGGGGAGCTGGGATCCGAATATGAACTAGTTCGAGTTGTTTCGGGCACGACACAGGTATTCATTATAATCATTAAAAATTTTGTTTGGTTGGTTGTTTTTTCTTCTTCTTTTTTCGTGCTTATTTCTGGGAATACTTTTTTAAGACAGGTACCACCTGATGCCTGGGTGATTATCGAAACTACCTTAAATGAAACCGTCCGTTCAGGAAACCGTGTTCATATATGCACATTCCAATGGAAATTACTCGTATCAGACTGAAAAATAGTATGGTTGTCATTCGTGAAGTTCAACGACACTTGATAAAAAAAAGTTTCTTTGATCGACTACGTATAGGATATCGACCGAGTACGAGGTCTTTCTGTTTAGAAAGACCTGGTCACGAATTTCATGTGACACCGAGAGCGCGTAGCGCTCGAGGTGTTTCATGAAATTCGTGACCAGGTATTTCCTAAACAGAAAGATCGATGTACGAGGCCGATATCCAACTTAGGCTACACACCGTAAAACTATATTGGCTTGGGCAATGGCTGGTCCGAAGCATTTGATGTAATGCACAAATATTATTCATATACAGGTAAGCTTTTATCAACGTTCTGCTTAAATACAATATATATTTTGCATTTAACTTTGCTTTTACCTTTTAAATAATAAAAATAATATAAAAGCTAAATGTGCAATTTGTCAATAATAAAGTGAACTGTAATGGAAGGTATGTTATAGAATGAATGTTATGTTGATAGTATCAGACAATGCAGATTCTAGGACAATTGCCCCCAGACAGTTGCCCCCACCGGACGGTTGTCCCTTTTTTTGCTGTTGTGACTTGTCACTTGTTATCTCCTGCATAGATTTTTTTGTATGCCAATGGAAACATTATAGTTCATTTATATATAGATGCTTTTTTGAATTTCACAAATTTGCGCGAAAGTTTTTGTGTTTTTGAGCACTATGAAATTTCGACAATATGCGATGAATTTTGGTACATGTAGCAAACAATTAAACAATAAAATAATTTAACATTTTTTAAACAAGGAGGGAGGGGGGGGGCAAATGTCCGTCCCTCCCAACGATATGAGTGGGCAAATGACCGCCATTGCAAAAAGCGGGCACACTTTCTAGGGGGCAACTGTCCGAAGGGCAATGTCCGGATACCCAAATGACCATGAAAGACTTACATATGTATATTGGTGGCAAGTGTGAGATACATGAACCGAAACTATATTTTATATAGCAGATAAAATAAAATACGATCGTTCGTCATAAAATTTGTAAACTAAATCACTTATAACTTTATTAACATTTTAAAATCGTAATAAGTATGCTGTGATTACTGCTATATAGTTTCATAGATATGAACTTGAAGTGTCCATTTTGTTATATTTGTGAACTTAATGACAGAAGAACCACTTAGAATACTATTTCTTTGAAAAATGAGGCGATTAAATAAATGTTAAATGTGTCCTAACTTTGATATGCTATCCATTATTTTTAGTCAAAGATTTGATACAGGGATGCTGGAATTATTGCTTAGTGCATTCGCCGATTTTGTAAGACAGTAATATTATGACAATCATTTACAATTTATTTCAATTTTTAATTTTTGATTGCATTTTATGTTTTCTTTGTCTGCCCCACTGCAGGTATATTTTTCACGTGTATTTCATGACCGGGTCTGTCTGACTAGAACAGACCTGTGCACGTGCAAAATATAGACCTCATAACGGACTCTCTTTTGTTTAAACAGGTCTATCCGAAAAATATAGACCTGTCACAAACAATAGAGGAGGTGTGTAACCGTTGTGACCGACTACGCGTAAAAAAAACAACATTTTTTCCAAAAAGTGCATTTGCTTCCGATCTACATCAATAGTCTATGTTGATCATTATGTGTGAGTATTATAAATGTATCTTGCATTAATGAATGTGACATAAATAAAATTATGTAATTTACTTATTGTCATAGTAAGTCGAATACATAGACAGCAGGCAACGCTGACTATTAAAAGCTGATGGCATAGGAAAGTTACTGTTGCCGTCATATAAAAAATATGCAAATTTTTAATTTTTCAAAGATTCATGAATTATTTATAGGTCACCTTTGGTAGATAATAACATTTAAGGATGTACGGGGTCCGTACTCTCAGTGCCTAAAAGGGCGGATGGACCCCCATTAAGCCTAAAATACTTGCATATATCATTTTTTTTTAAAGATAACTAGCTAAATGCAGGTATAGGGATAAGTGCATTACACATTAGACAAAAATACGTTGCTAAAAACATTTGTTGTTTTCCAGGTCGTGAATGGAATGATGTACAATATTGAACTTGTTGCTAAAAAGGTGATTCCAGGAAAGGTAAGTTACTCTTGTTTCTTTTATTGATCTTAAAATTATACAAACGCTTTTCTCTTGTCACACACATTTTATTTTCATAAAATAGATTTTGGCTCTATACAAAAACCTTGCCTTATAAACTCGAATAGTATACAATCCTGTAATTTGGGCGGTGTGTGGCGAGGTAAAATTTACTGCCTCTTTCGACCATATCATTATGAATATTCACACACCCGCATATGTTTTATGTAATAGAGTAAGTTATCTATTTTGCTAGTAATATCTATGTTTCGTTAAGAATCAAACGCAAGTATTGAGTAGTCTAGTCCCATATGGTTTTATATTTGATGTTCTAGTAAAGAAAATGTTTATTTTACGTGGTGTCTGTGTAACAGATGGTGTTTTTCCGGATTGTTTATTTTTACGTTTGTAATGTGTATTGTGCTCATTCTTTAATCATAAATAGTTGTACCAATAATGGTTGCGCTTTAGTCTTACTATAAATCAATCAGATGGTTAAGTGCTGATATTTACACTGTCACATATTGCACGATTTCAGAAGAACCAAAGACGTCGCTGTAAGGTGTTGGTTTATGAAATAAGACATCAAGGATATCTCGAGTTGGAAGAATTCCACTGCCACTTTAATAAGAAGGCACCGAGACTTTAATTTATTGGACACAGCAGAAGAATTTAAATAAAGACTTTCTTCTTTTGCATGCAAATCATGATGAACATGTAGATAAAGACTTACAATTACCACAAGTAATATACATTGTTCTACATTATAGTTTTAGAAAAAGACTAACTAAATAAATGATTTTCAAGGATTTTTTGTCGTTTCTTTTAGTATTCAAAATAAACTTATAATCCAGTGTATATATATCTGCCTTTATTGCATAGGATATAGCAATGTTATATATGGCACCTTTTTGGACTCCTTTCCTTAGTTCTTGGCATAAAGAGATCCTTAGGGCTCTATTTGGCTCCTTATGGGTCTATTTGGCACATTTCAAGGGCCTTTTGCTTAGTAAATCTACCAGAATGAGTCTAACTACTATGTCACTCAAACAATTACAACATCAAACTAATAAAGTCCTCTTATGATATTTATTTCTTTTAGCATAATTTCAATAAAATGTCAAAAATAATCTTGAATTTAATTCAAATATATATACATAGTTGGAAGTAAAACAAACACATCACGAAAAATACAATAAAAAATTACACCACTAAATGAAAGGTCCACATATCAATGCAAATAATTTTTTGTTTCAACATTTACTCCAAATCTCGTTTACACACTCCGTGCCGGTTTGCCAACTTCCTGCCCGCTCCAGAAGATCCCTTTTCAAGGACTGATTTAAAGGGCCACCTAACTTGGCCTGCACAAAGCCACAGTTTATTTGTGAGGTAACTGGGCTATCAATTTATACTCTTCTCTCTTAATGTACTATGTTAAAGGCATCCCTCTAATCTGTCATAAGAGTTACACCAGCAAGTCAACAGAAAAACCCCTGAGACTATTGCATATATTGATCTTAAACTTAAATAATAACAACTCGTCCTCCATACAGTAATATAAACAACCTTCGTACCAACAGCCCATTGTTTTTGTCCTATCTTTGACTACACAATAAAATATTTCTGGTTAAAAATGTTTGTTTTTTTCTAAGTCAGCTCAATCCATATCATTGTATCTTGCAAACAAAGTTTTCTTTAAAGCATCTTTATAATTGTCTGTCTCCTCTATATTAACTTTAGATCCCCGCATACCTAGTCCAGCACTTGAATTCCGTCTTTCTGCCTGTAAAACATATGTTCGATTAATAACATAAAAGTCTTATAGTTATATAGGACTCAGAAACAACAAATGAGCAGCGTCATTACAAAACCAACATAATGGGTTTGCGACCAGCATGGATCCAGACCAGCCTGCGCATCCGCGCAGTCTGATCAGGATCCATGCTGTTCGCTTACCAACCCTATTACAAGTAGAGAAACTGATAGCGAACAGCATGGATCCTGATCAGACTGCGCGGATGCGCAGGCTGGTCTGGATCCATGCTGGTCGCAAACCCATTATGTTGGTTTTGTCATGGTGCGGCTCAAATTATGCAACAACATTTTATTACAATATTTCTTTTCCATTTTTTGGGGTTGGGTTTTACATCACACCAACATGGTGACTTTCCAACTGCACTAATGGAAGGAAGACCTCAGGGGTCACTCTATTCATTATTTTAAGGGAGTAGAATAACCAACATTATTTAGACTACTTGGATTGCTTCCTCGCATGACAAAATTCAAAGTCCCTGAAGGTATTCAAACTCAAAGTAGTTAGGGGCTAGTGGTTTGAAGTCAATTACCTTTACCGCTTGGCCACAGATGCTGTAAAATATTACCTATAACTAGGTAAGTATTATGAACTCTGAAAACATACCTTGAAGCATTGGGTCTATATCAATTTATCATAATTATAAAGAGCACAAAAATGCACCAAAAGAACTTATATTTATATTTCCTCACCTCAATGGGATTAATGATGCCCTGTCCTGATCTACCAAGTCCCTGCCCTGATGACCAGCCCATCTTCTGTAACATTTTACTACCAATATTGTCTGACCCAAGTCCAGCTTTAGTTGGCTGCTCATATCTGAAAAAGCAATTAAATGTCAGAAAAAATAACTTAACCTGTAACAAATCTCTAATAACAAGACAAATATGACAGTCGTGCATATCACTTTAAGTTTGTTTTAATCAAATATCCTCTTTTAAATAATTGCTTATGGTATATCACTAATTTTCATAGGGTGACAATATTCATGTAATAAAAACATACTGACTAATGGAAATTTTTCAACCTATATCAAGCATTAGTTCAAAACAACTGAACTTTTGAAAGCCAGCTCAAAAGCCCCAATTAACAACAGAAAATGAATCAATACCTAACTACAGATTGAGGCAATCTATCAACAACACTTTCTTAAATTAAGCCCAAAACTTAGAAAATCCCTTCAATACTCATGCAAGATAAAGATTGAGACATTTTTTAAGTCATTTAGAAGGAAGAATAATTTCTGACAATTGTTTTGCTCAACTTACGGTTGCGGTGGTGGTGCTGGACGTTTTCTGGGTGGTGGAGCAAGTGATCCAATCTTTTCCCGCCTTTCCTTAGCTCTGTCACGGTACTGTAAAATATAAAACATTTATACATTTTTGCTTTACTTTTTTGGTTTAATATCAACTTAAACACAAGCTAGTCAATCTGAGCAGTTATAATGTAATTGTCACTGGAACAATAACTCGCTGTTGAGCAAGAGAACAACAACATTACAAAACCATTGTGCATCATAATATCATATACATTTGTACTTGTGAAGACACAAACAAGCATTAAGAAGAAAGCTGTGCACACTTGTTTTCATTTTCACCAGTTTAATTTTAGCAATTTTTATGATCTTGAGCATAGCAAAAAAAATTGTGCAAGATATGGTCTACAATGTAAGAACTGTTTCAGTTATTTTCAACAATACCTGCATTCCCCCTGACCCTCCTTGAGAACTTCCAACACCCTGAGACTGACGCATAGACTCTAAATTTTGCTGAAATCAGAAAACGTAACTTTATGTTAGAAACAATACAATAATCATTCATCACAAAATAGACATGAACATTCCTTTTTAACAGATATATCTATGAAATTCTATCTTACCATGCTATACAAATCCTTCAAGATTATAGAGAAAAAAATTCATATGTCACCTGGGGAAACTTTCTTTTGTTGGTTATATTAAGCACCAATTTTACTTTACAGTCTACACTTGTTTGTATAAGATCATGATAAACACGTATAAAATAGTCTCTTAACAGCATTTCTGTTGTATGCTGGCAAATAGATATATTAAAGGTTTTTCAGAATTTCAAATAATGTACATGTTTAAAATTATTGTTTGAGTAACTGCTAACATTTTCAATATGAATTAATTACATTACTAAATCAGCAAAAGTGGCATAGTATCATAGAGTTTTCAACCAAATTGACTCTGAAGTACATGTTCTGCATTTGAAGTAATAGATATGCTTAACAGGATATCATAATTATGTGCATAGTGTAAAAAAACAACAAACAAACAAAAACAGAGACAAACAGTAAAACCAGATAAAAAGACAATACCTTGTGCAAGTCAGACATTTGAGCATGTCTCATCAATTGTTCTTTGCTCTGAAATTGTCTCTTACACAGTAGACAAGCCTTCTTTGAATGATCTAACAGTTTACTTTCATCAAATCCATTTGCTGAGTCATCATCGTCGTCATCATCAGAGTCACCTCCATACGATGCTACTAACCCCAGCTTTGCCTTCTCTTCACTGGTGGGAGTACTTCCCCCTGGCTGCAAAATATACAGAAGTAGACTATAAAGGGATTGCACTTTTCAGGATAAAGATCTCTTACCTACAGTCCAACTAGTACAGTATATAATCAGTTTAGAAAATGTATGCATTCAACCTTCTGTATTTCTGAAGTGGACATATCCAGCTTTCAGTTTTAGAACTGGTGATCAATTTTTGGGATATCAAGGTGAAAATATGAAGTTTGTCACTAGTTTTACTGATTACAAACACTAAAATCTTTCAGAATAAGCTAGGTAAGGCTTAAAACGGTTAGAAAAATTCCTACTTTGCTCTGAAAAGCTAAACAAATTTACTGAAGGAATATGCAACGGTAAGATTACTGCAAAGTTATCAAAATGAAGTAAAGTTTTTTACGTCTATTATAAAAACTCACACCCATCTTTTTAAAATAACATACATACCAAAATTTGTATAAACAAAATGTTAACTCTTCAAACTTATCTTATTATTTTAATCACAATGACATGTGTAGTACATGTCAAATAAATTCCATAGTATATCAAAATTTATTTTAATTTCCCAATTTCTTTAAGCCAAAGGACATTCTGATAAAATTTTGATATAAAATCAATGTGTAGTATACAAACCATAGGTGGTGGAGGCATCAACTTTTTGTCTTCTGTTGGCACACTTTTCTGTAAAAAAAACCACCATTATACACACTTGGTCACATAAAACAAAAAGAAATACTGCATTTTTTACATCCTAACTAAATAATGTCAATTATCAATTATATTTTGATGTGATAAGGGTCAAAAGACAGCACCTTGAAATAACTGTTAAGAAGAATAGCTTCTACACAAGAAATATTTTAACAATGCAAAGATTACAAAATATGTATGCCACACAAGACTGTCACAATAATCTCATAATTTCTGACATTACTGTTTGGTTAAGGTATATACCAGCAACACATACCACTTTTTCAAGGATTGCAAAACCAGCATCTGCAGTAGCCGATTCTTTCCTACCAGAGAGGTTTGGCATATTGATCTTCTTCATCCCATCTTTCACAGCCTCTTTCTGAGCATTCATAGACTTAGCCCATTTTTCCATATCCTAAACAATAAACAAAGTTATTATTCAGTGGCATAAAGGCACTTTTATCATTTTTAAGTCCATGCTGGTATCATTAGTAAAATTACAAGTCAGATATTGGGCATCGTGAATTTTAATTTGTGAGAAATTTTCTGAAACTGAACTTTTTTAATCTTTCCTTTTTTACCTATTGAATTTGGAAGTTTTTATTTGAAACAAGTCCTTTGTTTTATTCCATTAACATAAATACCTCACCTTAAATCATGAAATATGGATGAAAGACAACATTTGTACCATTGAAATTCAGAGTGTGTTAAAGCAACTTAGAACAAATATTTACTAGAATTTTGTACCCTTGAAATGAAATGATATTATTGCAAAATAGTATTTGAGTCAAAATAATACCTTTGCAATTTTCTTTGCAACTTTGACTTTCTCCTTTTTATCTTTCCCATCTTTCTTTCCATCTTTATTATCGAGTGATCTCATATCTGACTGAGAGTCATCATTAGGGGCAGGTAAATATGTAGATTGTTCTGCATCCCAGTACATAAACTGACCTGTTGTACTGTTATAGTAGTACTGAAATATTACAGACAACCATGACAATAAGAAAGGGGCTTAATAGTGGTTTGTGGATAGTCATTGACTTTGAATTACTTACTCTACAGCTTTATGTGATCATATTCAGTATATGAGTAATATCACCTTACCCCTATCAAAAATTTGTTTCTAGCAATCTAATTTAACGTGCCTGAAATAATGACAGAAAGGTCATGTTTGATTGTCTGACTAATATTGCTCTGTAGCCAATCAGCAGTCTCTTATTATTAAGTTATAGCTCAACATTGTAGTCAACAGATACGTAAATCCTTACTGATTATCAGAAAACCATACACTAAATCATACAGAACATTAAGATGAAAACATACCTGAGAGCTGGCATCATAGTAGAGAGAAGTGATAGGATCATAATAGTAGCCGGATGTCTCGTCATACTGGTATAAACTAACATCTGGTGCAGCTGCAAAACATGTTGATTGTTTAGAATAACATCTGACTAATGAGCTAAGTGAAATCACTAATTTATGAGGTACCTAAACTTTCAGATTTATAACTTTCTTGCCTACAAGTTCCCTTTCTATATTGTACCAATTATTGATCAAGATTTACGGAAACTCTTATGTCTTCTAATTTTGAGAAAGTTGTAACAGAGAACTTAAATGTGACCATACAAAAAGAATCATGTCCTGCACACTTTTGGATTTCAAACAAACAGACCCAGTATTCTTTTATAAGTTTATCTCCCAAGTAAACCTAGTTTAAGATGAATTAAGAAAAATATAGTATCAGATAAGATTTATCCTACATAATTTACATTTCTAGAGTAACTTACGATATTTTGTAACTTCTTGTTGTTGCTGTTGTTGCGTAGGTTTATCATCAGTTTTTTGTTTCCAGGCCTGGGCCTGATGAGCCAATCTCTCCTCTGTAGACATATCTGCTATCTTCTGTTGTTGCTGGGCCTAAAATTACAGAATATTATATTTAATACATATTAACTTATGGTAATTTAATAACCATTTGTGTTTCATAATGTTTCATTTTACTATATGTTTTTTCTATAAAGATACTTACATTATATTAATACACCAATATCTAGTTGATAAAAACACATTTCGTTCCTAGAAACTATGGTAACAAAAGTACGTTAACCATTCACATCACCATAAACTACAACATTAAATATTGTTTATACTTCATACATTCAAGTAGTTTTGCAGAAATCAATGGATTTCACTTTTTAAGTTTGATATAACCAACATATGAAAGTGACTGACCTGTTTTTGGAAATGTTTAGCTGCCTGAGCTTGCTGTATTGCAGCCTGGGCCACTGCAGCCGCTGCATTTGTAGAGTCCACTGAAAAATCAATATTATTTCATGTATGTCATCTATGTTGAACACAACAAAATCCTCCAGTTTTAGAAATAACTTATTACCAGTTTATCTACCAGACATCAGTAAAATACAGAAGATACAAGTTTTCTTTCTGTACACTGACTGCAACAATCCAGAAGTCAATTACCCATATAATCTGTAGTCTATGGTTAATGCTTATTAAGGGTCCATCCGCCCTTTCAGGCACCAAGAGTATGGACCCTTACCATCCGGCCATCACATGGTACTTAATATAAGACATTGCCTTATGGTTCTAATAATTAATTTGAAATATATTTTGAAATAATCCTCCTCTCTTTTTTAGACATTTGATAACATTATTATTCCATGTTTTAATTGCAGAGATCATTATGATCACCAACAGTTATTTACCAAACAAAGAAATTCAAAACTTCATGATTTGTTTTTATATTAATGGTTCTAGATTCTACAGGTTATTCTGGAAACCTCTTTCCTAGCTCATTTATGTCTTTTTTTTTATTTTATACACATATATGTACCTGAAGTTGATGTGGTTGCAGTATCACCAGACTCTGTGTAGTAATTTGAGTAGTCATAACTCTGTCCATCATAGTACTGTCCCGAGTAATAACCCGACTGGTCGTACTGATTGTAATCATAGTTCTGGTAATATTCCCCACTAGACTGGTCCCAACTTTGCTGACCAGCTGCGTTTATAGTTGCCATACTGATACACAACATAAAAGAAAGATTTTAAGTAAAATTACAATAAAGTATTACAATGCCAAATTAATTCAATCATTAAATAGTTGCATACAAAACTTGCTAAAATGGTTTACCAGTAAATGTATGTTCTTAAATTATATGTCAAAAAACACACTGTAAACTTAAAGGTCACATAATTTTAACTTCCTACATACACCAAACAATCATATTACACACAGAAGAACTCCAAATTCTGTGTTTTAAAGTAAAGAAACTAGATAGCAATTTTAGGGAAGCTCTATCTAATTCTTTAAAATTTGAATAACATTAAACTACTAAAATAAACATTTTGCTTTATAAGTGTTTCAACTTACGAGGTAGTGAAAGTGTTCTTGGCAAAAGCCACAAGAATTTGTTTTCCATCCACTTCTAATGGAGGATTCATCTGTTTCAATACTTCGAGCACATTAACTGACTCGGCCACTGATCCGAGCTCAACGAACGCAAACCCCTGCGAAGCCTGACTCGTAGCATCCCTCACAACCTGGATATTTTTACATGTCAGTTGTGTCACAGCATTCAATGCCCGCAGTATTGACTCCTCCGTAGTCAAAGCATCCAGGCCTCGCAAAACTAATGCTGTAAAATAACCATTAATATTATATTTGTACTACATGAAACTAAATACCTATAAATGATAATGCTGTATATCTGAATATATTTCTTGAGATACAATGTGTTAAGTGAAAAAAATTCACCATGTTCCAAAAAGAGCAAAGTTATTCCAGTATCGAATTACCAGCTATGAATCGTATAGTAAAGAAACTATCAAAAGTAGATAGATGCCTTCTCTTAATTTCCAGCCTTCTTTTAAAGCAGCACATTTCTCAAGTAAATATTTTATGTTTTTTTATTCCTTACACTTTTATTTATTTAAATGTGTGCATATTCAATCCAAATAAATAACTTTCAAGAATGAAGGAGATCAAGTCAAACAAGAAATCTTGTAAGAAGACTTACTGTTGCATGGGTTAGTTCCAACATGGTCATATCCATCTGCCTGTGATTTCCCAGATTCTAAAATAAACGAAAGTATTTCTTCTAGCAAATTGAAATATCACCATAAATCTACCATAGTTATTACTATCCCAGGTACTGTCAATATAAACATAGTATATGTTATGATGTAATTCCCTTTTCAATATAACCCTTATATCTCCTTAAAAATACACATTGCCTATGATCAATTTTGAATACTTCAATACCTTTGAAAGAATTGTTGAGACTTAATTACATTACAGTAAGCCCAAAATAACAGTTTAATACTATAATTATATTCAAATCAGTGATTTTTCTCGCTTAATTGGGAAGAGGCCTTAGCCTCTTGATTTTGGGAAAAATTATCGCTAAAATTGCTAATTTGGGAAGAAAAAAGCATGTTTCAGTTCAGATTTTGGGAAAACTGCATGATTTTAAAGAAAATTTCAATTGGGAAGAGGCCCTTTTTCGGAGTCTGTTATATAAGTAGGAAAATCACTGCAAATACATTTTAATGTAATACAGTGTAACTTCCGAATTCCGGAACTTCTGAAATCCGGAAACTTCTAAAAACCGAACAATTTTTTCGGTCCCGATTTTTCCCTTCTATTTTCTATTTATATAATACTTCTGAATTCCGGAACTTCTAAATTCTGAATTCCGGACGATATTTTCGAAAAATTAGAGTCAAATCAATGCAATTTTACCTCCAAAAACCGGACATATCCAAAGGTGTGAAATACATTGTAAACCCTGCAGGAAGATTTAATCTCCCTATCGATTGTTTACTAATTAGCGGTGATCGTGTAATTTGACACGCGTTAAAATCACAAACTGAAATGGTATGTTTGAAGTGATGCGGTTAGTCAAAGTAATTTACGGCGGTCATTTAATTTGAAGTGTTTATTAGTGGATTAAATGACAATTAATGGGACAATGTATGTATCAAACGTCTTTAGGGATTTTATTGCATTTGATGTAATAATTAATTAACTAGCATCGGACGATATGTAAGTTTATGCAATTAACAACATTTTTACAAACTGATATATTACAGTAATGGCCACATCGTCCTTGACATTTAGTGATATTAAGTGGCTTAGTCTTGTCCACATTATCATAAACCTCTGAATTCCGGAAACCTCTGAAATCCGAACTTTTTGACAAGTCCCATGGGTGTTCGGTTTTCGGAAGTTACACTGTAAAGGTATGCAATGTAATAAAACAGTGTGAAAGTGTATATTTCAAATGATTTTCACCCTTACATCTGATCAGTGTCTACTATTTTATAGCTTACCATATCTGGACATGTTGCACTTAAAGCAATAGTCTCTCCGCTTGAAATTATGTACGCCACACTGTAGAAAATAAAAACATTTACACTAATAATAAAACCGCCGGAGTTCAAACTTTTTCACAGCCCTCTCCAAAGTGATTTAAATTCTTTAACTTTTTACCTCTTTTAGTACAGGATATATATTTTTTCTTACGAATATAACAAAATTCTGGAAACAAAGTGATCCCTCGGAAGCATTAACCACACTGTGTAACTGTGTAACACTATGCTCTGAACAAATTTCACACAAGTTGTTTTTTCAATAATTTAAAGTCTCGAAAATACTGCCAATAATTGTTTAAAGTAATTCATATTTTGGAAAATTGTAAAACCTACTTCTTAAGTACTTGGAATAAAGAACAGTCTAAAGCTCTTAGCTTATATATTATTTCAACTTCAAAAAAATTAGTTTAAAAAAGATTTTGTGGTGTAATAAATACCAAATTTGAAATACACAAATAACATACATATATGTATTAAAGTGTATAAACGTCACAATACCTTTACACAAATCCAGTCCATGCGATGTACCATCTGTTTATCCTTTGGATCTTTGGGCGTGCTGAAGTTCATCGAACATGTGTACTGATTCTGCAGGATCAACTTTTTCTGCAATTAATAAATCATTTACACAATTAGTATATGAGTTTGACATAGAAAGAAAGGGGCTGAAAACTCCACCTTGAGGGCACCTTTGTTTGAGTGCACTGTATGACAGTGACTAAATGGTTGATCTGGTTTGATTTTTTTTTTGTGCATTTTTTATAATGTCAAAATACGATAGAATATTTTGTGAATTATTCCCTTTACATCTTATGACGACTTAAAATAGGGATTTTTGTGCCATCTGACCTTACCCTGCATACACATATAATGTTGTTGTTTTTTACAAACTGTTTCTCTTTATTTCCCATCTGTAATTATTTCACTATATAACCAAACAGCTATCCAACTTTTATTGCATAGTAACTTTATGGACTGAAGGTCAACTGGCACTTTTAGATTTAAATGTCAGAGAAAAATGCTGTGTACTGAAATGACTCTGTCAAGTTCACAGCTTAATGCAAACACAGGTCTACTATTGACCAGACGAAAATGTTATTTGAAGGTACAATGATAATTCATTTTCTAATTCTTTAATGCTGCCAAGTCTTGAATTTACAACTTCTCAAAATGCCTCGAATATAATATTTGTTCATGTATTTACTAAACAAAATCAAAATGATATTAATATTCTGTGAAATATTATGTATTTTCAAAATCTGGCAACATTAAAAAATGATGTATGAACAACAAAGTGATGTTATGCATCATAAGTCTCTTGTCATTATAATTTATCGAGAAATATTTTCTTTTTTCCTCAATAAAATGTGTGAAATAGAGAAACTCTTTCAATGACTGGAATGGTATTTCAATATAGTGTATTCGGTTAGTATAAAAAAAACAAACTTTTTAGCAAAAGGATAATGAAACCACAAAAAAAATTGCCAAAGAAAAGTCTTGTAATATGTATAACTGGAAAACATGGTACCTTAAATAGTTCTCTGTTCATTTCCTAAATGATCACAATCAAATTTCTTGAATTGATAGCATTTTTTTTTATCTTCATAGAAGCATGCATAAAATTTTCTTCTCCAAAACTTGAATCCTCTATCCCCCACAAGTCAAACTTTCTCAAACCTTAATTTCCCAAACAGCTTCAGAAAGTGCCCATCCCTGTACATGTACTTCACCCTTCAGTTCTTTAATATTTTCTCACACAACTCAAATCAAAATACTTTGTATTAACATATCAATCTCCCCTTATTTCACCCAGAAAATCTTCACCCACATTTCCCTTCCCACATTTTTAAACGAATCTTAAAATGCTATATTTGCCCTCCCTCTAACGGCTTCTTATCTTTCCAACAAATTTTTTTTTTCTGCACACACATAAATAATTGTGTTGTGAGCGAGCTGTATCAGTTTTGTGTTTACTATACCGTATCACAATGGTTATACATATATAACGGTAGTAAGCTTGTCGTTAGAAACCTGATTTGAATCCATCCAGCGTACAGCATCGTCTCGATTCTGAAACTCGACGAAAGCAAACCCTCTTGAGGCACCTGTACATAATCATAATGTGTCATGTTTTAATATTAAAGTTTTGATAAATTCTTAACTAAGGCACCTGAAGCAATAATATGCTTTATAACAGGTTAACAGGTCATACCACAATGTTTTGTCAATAAAAAAAAATTCACCCACTGAATATGCCAGAACGACCTAGAAATCATTCTCAATGTATTACTTTGCTTACATACTTACCATTTATGTGTACAGTTTGTGTATAAAGTAAATGGAATCTTCAGTTCTTGAACATGTGAACTTAAAAGAACCAAAATTGCTCATATTTTATTTCCAAATTGAGCAATTAATTGAAAATATCAAGTCTTCCATGTACCAACAGACAAGGCAACGATTTATCAGGTTGGACAGAATGTTAATTTTCATTATTTGAATCAGCTCCAAATTACGAGCATTGTATATATATTAAAATTTATCCGAACTTACCTTCAAAAAATAATATTTCACCCTTTTCGAATTAAGTTCTATAATATTGTACCAAAATGTACCAAGTAAACACCAGACATATTAAATGTTTTTTTTAATATCTAAAACATTTATTAGGTTGAAGTATTAAATGGCATTTGATGGCAAGATCAACTAATTATAATCAAATACTATTATCTGAAACAAAAGAAGTATTAGATATTCTAAATGTTAAATATGTTTTTGTGTTTTTTCAGAAATGTTTAAACAAATTTGCAAGTCAATTTCAATACTGTAAAGGGAAGAATGTTTCTGGCAATTCAGTGGGACCATAAAAAACATATCAGGGACAATATAATAAGATGGCTTGACATATACATACAATGGCACAGTATGGTACCCCTAGTAATGTAAAAATATTTTGACTTGGTTCCGATACTAACCTGAACTTTTTCTCATAAGACGCACATCTCTGATTGGGGCCCCAAACATCATCAGTTCAGCTTTGATCTGTAAAACAAAATATAAAATGTCATGTTTGGTTAAAAAATAATGTTCTCAAACTATGCCCACAACAAATTTGCTCATGCCCACCACAAATATGCTCAATACTTTGACCCTTGAGCTGATTTTTGTCTTGGATTGGTTCAAGCTTGTTTTGTTGGGGACCACCACATACCTGTTTGTGCATAAATTCTGGTACTACCAGTACCATTTGGAAACTATAAATATATTTTATGAAACCTTTAAAGTTAAAGAAAATTGAATTTTATAAGTTGATGTTTTACAATGTTTTACAACATTGTTGAATAAATACACATTATGTAAAATTAATTTTTGTTCAAGCTCTCATTTACGATTGGTCAGTGAGAAATTTTGAACTTACATCTTTTTCTTCAATACATGTGGGCAGCCTCTGTAGAATGACTGTATTAGATGGTGTGTCTGTAACCCACTTCTCCCCAGCTCTATCATCATCTCTATCCCTCCTATCTCTCTATAATACAAACCATCTCACATATAAATGTATTCAGTTTACAACAAATATACAATACCAAGACCTATCATAAATCATTACTCTTTGTCAATATTATAAATACAACATAAAAATTAATTTTTCAGGGGCTGAATGTACAACCACTTTAGTTTTAGGGGATCATTGTTTCCCCTTCCTTTTACTCATTATGAGACTACTGTAGTACGTAAGTTTCCAATTATCTTTCAAGTTTTGACTTCAACCCTTATGATGGCTGAAAAATGTTTCAAGCATTGTCAGCCTAATTTGACAGAAGGGAAGGGTTAAATTCAAACGTATTTACAATATCACTAAAATATAAGTGGAGCTCTATAAAAACAGTATCAAGTACTCTGAAATTTTGAATACAACAACAAACAAGAGCTGTCCGTAAGACAGCGCGCTCGACTTTTTTATTGCTTGCCAATAAAAAAAGTTTTTGCAGTAAAAGGCAATACAAGAATCTCTGTATTTTTAAAGTGAACAATGGCCATGAGCATTAAGATATTTAGTGAAGAATTATTTTACTGAATTGTGTGATACCCTTGAACACTGCAGCAAAGTTTGAAATGTTTATGTCAAAAGAGGGCTGGTAAGAAAGAAAAAAAAACTGAGTTGAGCCTTAAATAAATTTAATAGTATTAAACCCACTTTGAGAGAATAAGGTATTTTTACGTCACTCAGAACACCTTGGTAAATGACATAATAACATAATTTTTCAAGAAATCTATGCCAAGGAAGCAGTATATTTTTGTACAATCAGCATAATATATAGATTTGACTTTGTATGTGAAAGTATTATAGTTACCTTATAATTAAAAACTTAACCAAGATTCTAAGTCGATAAAAGGCCTTAATTTTTAAAACAAATCCTTGACAGAGTTACCTTCTCTTGCGTACAGATGGGGGTAATGATGTGAAATAGCATTAAAAGTTTCAAAGCAATATCTCAAAGGGTTAAGGCAGGGCTCACACTGGCTCAAATAAAATAATAGCCAATAATTTTTACTTAAAAAAATAATAGCCAAAAGTTCAGCGGACTTTTCACGAATTAGCGATTAACAACATAAGCAGTTGATTAAATAAACATAACATAAATTCATATCTTTCAGTTTTATAAGGATTCTCTAATAAACTGATACATTTGTGTATATTGATAACTACCTTTTTTTAAAATAGAACCACAACGTACTTTAATTGTAATTATAGAACAGAATAAAAACGTTATAATTAGTATAATTACTGTATAACAATAATATTAAAGATTTATTATAACTTTACATAATGCTGTTATCACACAACTTTTTTTGTTTGTTCTAATCAAATTTTATCAGCTATAACCACTGTCAATTTCCACATTTCATACAGAACTGGAGTAGATCTAGGTCATATTAGCCTATAGAAATAACACAAGTTTGCAAACTCATTCACAGAATGCAGCCTTTTTTCTGAATAGTTAACTGAAAAATATCATCATCACCAATGTAATACAAATTTACTGCAATAGTAGTAAAGATTTTTAAACAGAACATAGCTTATTTCACCTTTAAATAAATATCAAAATTATCGGTGTCGCGAAAATATGTGACAATCGGATTTTTCCTGTTTTCTGAAGAAATATTCACAATTTTGGTTGTTGTGCAAATAGTTATTTGGAATTTAATACTTTTTAAATATTTTACCATTGTTTTCCACTGGCGATTTAGTCAAGTAGCTTAAAACAAAAAAAAAATCAAAATTTGCAATTACTGGAATTCACGGTAAATTTTGGGTAAGTCAATATCCAGTTTATCAATTTTAAAACGATTTTTGTGGCTAACTGACGGATATTTGATGGCTATTATAAATGCTGGACAATATCTTTAAAGTACTTATACAATTATACATCTCGCATGTATTTTATCACCTCGGGCAATATAGTTAGCAGCACGTGACCGGTAAAAGTTGACACTCAATTGAATGCACCCCGCTGGTGTTAATTGGGTCTTCTGCATTCATTATCGATTTTTATACCTTACATAAACACTGTTGGAAGTAAAAAATAATCGCCAGATTTTGTAGCCAAAATGCAAAAATAATCGCCAATCTTATAAAATAATCGCAAATGGCGACTATGGCGACCGACAGCGTGAGCCCTGGTTAAGGCAATAAGTGGATTTTACCCATATTCAATGTATTTTCTAAGTCAAAAAGGGGCATAATTCTGTCAAAAACCTTGACAGAGTTATGTCCTCTTGTCTGTTGATGAAGGTCGTGATGGTAAACAAGTATGGTCAGTTTCAAAGCAATACCTCCAATGGTTTTGAAATAAAGTGAGGTGGTACAAAAAACTTAACCAAGCTCAATACACTTTCTAAGTCAAAAAAGGGCCATAATTCTGTCAAAAACCTTGACAGAGTTATGTACTCTTGTCTGTAGATGGAGGTTATGATGGTGAACAAGTATGGTAAGTTTCAAAGCCATACTTGTAATACTTCTGAAATTAAAGTGGGGTGGTACGAAAAACTTAACCAAGGTGTGACGTCAACGCCGACGCCGGGGCGAGTAGGATAGCTCCCCTTTTCATAGAAAAGTCGAGCTAAAAATCATACATCATATCTGTCATCTCTTCTGTCTCTACTCCTTGAACTGTCTCTGTCTCTATGACGATCATGACCGCCACTCCTCATTTCACGTCTACGCTCTGACCGATTCTTTCTATGTTGCCTGTGAAAAAAAAAATCAATTTTCTTCAAGTTTTTATACATTTTTTCGTGTGCTGTGGGAGAAGCAGTTAAGAGAAAATCGTTTTCGTTTTTATCCAAGGCAACAGATGTGCCAGCAAAAACAACCAATTTGGCCAAGGTCATAGGGATATTTTAAATTTTATGTACAGGCTGAAAATACAACCAATTTTAACAGCATATCAACAGACGATATGGATCTAAAATGTTAATTTAGTATTTACCTGTCTCTTTCTTCTTGGTCTCCACTCCTACTGGAATGGTCACTCCCATAATTATCATTGTTGCCAGTGTAAGAGTCCTGATATCCCCCATAGCTTTCTTCTGACTGGTATGCCTCATTACTGTTTGTTTCGCTGTATGTTTGGTTGTAATCATTGTAGTTATAATTGTTCTGTGTTTCAGCATAAGGATCTTGGTAACTTTGGTAACTTGTATTTTCATACGGGTTTGGATAATCTGTAGTTGCCATGGTTGCCAACTGAAAATAAATAAATTGTAACATCAATTTTTAAGTAGTACTTTAATGAAATTCCTGCTTCCACAGAAAAATTTAAAATTTATTTCTATAACACCAGGGTTTAAATTGGGGGAAAAGCAGCATTTTAGTTACTTGGAGAAATTTAAAAATGTTGAAAAACTAGTTTATACATGGCTTTCAGGTTTATTCGTGTAATTACTGTATGATCATATAATCTGTCTGATTTTGACTGGCTGAAATACACAACAGTTGACAAGCATTTAATATCTGGACTAACACTTATTTACAAACATGGAAAGATGTTTTCTTAAATTATAATTATTACATTTTTGGTATTGAAAGAGTTTTCAATGATTTGTGTAACAAAAATTTATTACAATCCATCCTTGTGACAATGCAAAATACATTGCATGTTAATAAATGCAGTACATGTTGTTTTATGTATATAAGATAAAGAACAAACATTTAAAAATATTTTTATAATCAGTGTTGTTTTTTTTTATATTTTTTTTGCAACAGTCCTATCCCTGAAATTGTGATTTTTTTATCACAAAATTCTGTCAAATTAAGATAAAAATTCACAAACTTTACAGAAAAAGCCATCTTTTATAACAGAAAAGTATACCCAAGGATAGTCCGCATATCTTAAACTAGAAAATTCCCCTTTGTCAGATTTTAACTTCAGCATTCTTTTAGACTGAGAGGATGAAAAAGCAAGTTTGGTCAATTCTTATCACTATAAATAATGCAACAGGCATTTTACTATCCTATTCCTCCATTGCATAAATTGGCCTTTCTACAAAACACATTTTTTTCCCAAAAAATAAACAAGAGGGCCATGATGGCCCTGAGGTCGCTCACCTGTATATAGGCCCCCCCCCCCCCCCAACGTTGCAGAGCCAATTTAACCCAAGGGCTTTTATTTGCACAAACTTGGTAGACACCCATAAGAAGATGTTTCATGCTAAACATTTAAGCTCTAGCTCATTGGGCTTTTTTAAAAGAAGATTTTTTTTAAAGTTTTTACTATACACATATAGTTAAAAAACAACAATGACACCCCTGGGGCTGGGCCAGTTTTGACACCAGGGCTCTTATTTGAACAAACTTTGTAGACACTTACTAGAAGATGTTTCATGCTTAATATCTAAACTCTAGCTATTCGGGTTTTTTCAAAGAAGATTTAATGTTTTTGCTAAACACATATAAAGAAAATCAATGACCCCCGGGGCGGGGCCAATTTTGACCCCTGGGCTTGTATTTGAACAAACTTGGTAGACACCTATTAGAACATGTTTGATGCTCAATATCTTAGCCATAGCTCTTTGAGTTCTTTAAAAGAAGATTTTTTAAGTTTTTACTATATGCATATAGGGAAAATCAATGACCCCCTGGGGCGGGGCCAATTTTCACCCCAGGGCTTTTATTTGAACAAACTTGGTAGACACCCATTAGAACATGTTTCATGCTAAATATCTTAGCTCTAGCTCTTTGGGTTCTTTAAAAGAAGATTTTTTAAGTTTTTACTATATGCATATAGGGAAAATCAATGACCCCCCGGGGCGGGGCCAATTTTGACCCCAGGGCTTTTATTTGAACAAACTTGGTAGATACACACTAGAAGTTGTTTCATGCTTAATATATAAGCTCTAGCTCTTTGAGTTCTTTAAAAGAAGATTTTTAAGTTTTTACTATATGCATATAGGTAAAATCAATGACCCCCCGGGGCAGCGCCAATTTTGACCCCAGGGCTTTTATTTGAACAAACTTGGTAGACACTCACTAGAAGATGTTTCATGCCAAATATCTAAGCTCTAGCTCTTATGGTTTTTTAAAAGAAGATATTTAAAGTTTTTTTTCTTTCGGTTGCCATGGCAACCAGAGTTTTGCATGGAATTAAATTCTTTGAACAATTTTTAAAGGTGACCACCAAAGGAACATTCCTGTGAAGTTTGGATGAAATTGGCTTAGTGGTTTATGAGGAGATGTCATTTAAAGTAAAAGTTTACGGACGGACGGACGACGGACGAAAAGCGATCACAAAAGCTCACCCTGTCACTTTGTGACAGGTGAGCTAAAAATGACAGGTGCTGACATCATTCAACCTCCATTCTATGTCACTTGACCTTTTGACATCATTTTTGGTGGGGAAAAATAAATCTATGGAAAGCCATTAGTGCATATGTTAGTTTCATTCAGTCTTTTAAGGGAGTCTGTGTAAAGTGCCATATTGATATTTAATGTTCATCATATATAAATAAAATAGATTCAATGATATAAAAGGACCAGAAAATCACAACAACACTAAAATTAAACGAAGGGAATTTTTGAATCCAGCCACATGGTATAATATACACCTGTAATTGGGAGGAAAAGATTCTTAAACAGAGATCCCATGGGAGTAATAAAAGATGAACAGTAAATTATTGAAACACATGCTTTTATGTTGTTTTAAAGTTTTTTTTTTTTCAGATATGTATACAAGAATGCTAAAATGATATATTTGCTATTAAAACTGCAATGGCTTTCCGTATAAATAACATTTTTACCAGTGCACGGTAGCATTTAGTCTGTTTAACTACTTCATACAAAATGGTCGACCATAGTTTACATTCGTAATGAGCGAGAATTTCAATGTAACAGAACTCTGTAATGTAGTTTTAAGAGGATTAAATGTTAATGAAGTTGTTTATTTCTTCTTTTTTATAAGTCAGTAAAATTTTATCTGAAAAAAACCTTGTATAAATTATGTACACCGGTATCGTGGAGACCCGGGCTAATAAGGAAAAGTTTATACGTTTAATATGTTTTTTTTTCAGAAGCCGGTCAAGTTGACCTGTGCCGAGTTGACCTGTGCCAGTTGGCAGAAGTCCGAGTTGACTCTTTACCTTGATTACAATTAAAATTATCACCTTCATTTCTGTACAATACAAAACCAGTCTGGCTACTGGTAGTCAGAGCCATACAATGGAGTATATCGGCAATACTTGATATTTGCCTGTTGCATTATTTAAAATGACGTTGAAATTTAAAACTGAAAATCATCATGGAAAATACTATCTGCTGGATTATGTGAAAATACAATTGGAAATGTAACAAGAGGGCCATGATGGCCCTGAGGTCGCTCACCTGTATATAGCCTCCCCCACCCCCCCCCCCCCCCCCGGGCCAATTTTACCCAAGGGCTTTTATTTGTTTATTTGAACAGACTTGGTAGACACCCATAAGAAGATGTTTCATGCTAAACATCTAAGTTCTAGCTCATTGGGTTTTTTAAAAGAAGATTTTTTAAGTTTTTACTATACACATATAGTTAAAAACAATGACACCCCTGGGGCAGGGCCAGTTTTGACCCCCAGGCTTTTATTTGAACAAACTTTGTAGATATTTACTTAAAGATGTTTCATGCTTAATATCTAAACTCTAGCTATTCGGGTTTTTTCAAAGAAGATTTTTAAGTTTTTGCTATACACATATAAGGAAAATCAATGACCCCCGGGGCAGGGCCAGTTTTGACCCCAGGGCTTTTATTTGAACATACTTGGTAGACACCCATTAAACATGTTTCATGCTAAATATCTTAGCTCTAGCTCTTTGGGTTCTTTAAAAGAAGATTTTTTTAAGTTTTTACTATATGCATATAGGGAAAATCAATGACCCCCTGGGGCGGGGCCAATTTTGACCCCAGGGCTTTCATTTGAACAAACTTGGTAGACATTCACTACAAGATGTTTCATGCCAAATATCTTAGCTCTAGCTCTTACGGTTCTTTAAAAAAGGATTTTTTAAGTTTTTACTATATGCATATAGGAAAAATAAATGACCCCCCGGGGCGGGGCCAATTTTGACCCCAGGGCTTTCATTTGAACAAACTTGGTAAACACTCACTAGAAGATGTTTCATGCCAAATATCTTAGCTCTAGCTCTTTGGGTTCTTTAAAAGAAGATTTTTTAAGTTTTTACTATATGCATATAGGGAAAATCTATGACCCCCTGGGGCAGGGCCAATTTTGACCTCAGGGCTTTTATTTGAACAAACTTGGTAGACACTCATTAGAAGATGTTTCATGCCAAATATCTTAGCTCTAGCTCTTTGGGTTCTTTAAAAGAAGATTTTTTAAGTTTTTACTATATGCATATAGGGAAAATCAATGACCCCCCGGGGCAGGGCCAATTTTGACCCCAGGGCTTTTATTTGAACAAACTTGGTAGACACACACTAGAAGATGTTTCATGCCAAATATCTTAGCTCTAGCTCTTTGGGTTCTTTAAAGAAGATTTTTTAAGTTTTTACTATATGCATATAGGGAAAATCTATGACCCCCTGGGGCAGGGCCAATTTTGACCCCAGGGCTTTTATTTGAACAAACTTGGTAGACACTCACTAGAAGATGTTTCATGCCAAATATCTAAGCTCTAGCATTAAAAGAAGATATTTAAAGATTTTTCTTTCGGTTGCCATGGCAACCAGAGTTCTGCATGGAATTAAATTCTTTGAACAATTTTTAAAGGTGACCACCAAAGGAACATTCCTGTGAAGTTTGGATGAAATTGGCTCAGTGGTTTATGAGGAGATGTCATTTAAAGCAAAAGTTTACAGTACTGAGCAATGTGTGTAAAGTTTCTTGCTCAATGAAACAACGACTTGCCCCTGACAGGGTTTGAACTCATGCGGCTAGCGATCATTAGATTATAAGGGTGTAACAGTTTACCGGTATACCGATATATTGCAATATGAAAAAATAAATTTCGTACCACGGTATGATTTTTGGAAAACCGGTATTTTATAAAAATCATAATTTTCAATTAATTGCCAGCCAATTTTGTACAAATTTCACATAAAATCTTTAATTGGCGAATTTTATTGGCACCAACGTAAGGTAAAAGTATCCGACAACTAGTACACTTAAAAATCAATAAGCGGCCGCATAATTTATATAAGCGGCTCAGATGTGAAAGGTCACATGTGACTAGTTTTGTTTATCAAATTGTGTGACACTTTACTTTCTATTTTTTCTTTACATTTATATTAAGTTTCTACTAAAAATATATACATATAATAATAATATATAATGTTACTCCATCTTAAAAGACTTTATATTAAAACATATACACAACAATACGTATTGCAATATATTGCAATACGCTTCAGCAAAATGGCAATATATTGCAATACGGTTTTTGCCGTATTGTTACACCCCTATTAGATTACTAGTCCAACGCGTTAACCACTCGGCCATGCCGCCACACAACAAGACGTTGAAATACATTTTTTTTCAATACATCTAATATATAGAGGATATTTGTTTAGTTCAGTGTAAGATCGGAATATATTTCACCTAGTGAGCACCAAAAGGTATATTTCACGAGTGGCGCAGCCACGAATGAAATATGAACTTTTGGTGTTCACAAGGTGAAATATATTTTGATCTTACATTACATTAAACAAATTTTCTTTTATTATATGCAAAGAAACATTAAAAAAGACATTTTAAGTTAGTACTAAATAAAAAGGGCGCCAAATAATAATACAACGTGATGTCATTTACAGTGTTGAATCTAGAATTTCAAAATTATGGGGGATTGTCCCCCACTCAATTGAAAAATGTGGGGGATTTGAAAAAAATGTGGGGGACATACATTTACCTTACAATATGACATACCGAAAAGAATTCATTTATTTTACGTTCAGGCATTTTTTGACAGTTATTGTCCGCTCAAAAACGGAAGTAGAAAAAATAAAATATTGACGAATACTACAAAACACACGCGAGATGACTCAGTAGGCTGCTACACGCGATTTAGTACGTATTTTAGTCATAACCACGAGTGAAAACAAACATGGCTGAAGCGTTTGAGATAGTTTTTGATACGATGAAGATAAACTGAATTAAGTTGAAAAGATCGTCAGATGCGAGACTTGGCGCGCACTGACTTCATTAAAATGCGCGATCTGCATAAAACATGCGCAAATCGGGCGGCCTAGATGCAACACTGCATTTACGACGTCAGGTAGTTAAGTTGGTTTCCAGTACTGTGAAATGCTTGTATTTCACTGAAACAACGTACTGGGCTCAATTATTCAAAACAGTGAAATTATCAAATCGATAATTTCACTGTTTCAAAAAGTGAAATTATCGATACCAGTTTTTAACTCACTGATATATTTCTATAAACCACCGAAAAGCATGTAATAATATGTTTTAATGATATATATGTTCGGTCAAAAAAACTATGTTAAGTACATGTGCTGGGTTTTGAAAAATATACATTTTATTTGGATTTTAAAGGAGTTTTACGCTCCACACCCAAAGTCATGAAAGTGGTCTGTGTGAAAAGACTCGTCAAATTAGACATTCTGCAATTACCTTATTATAAAATCTGAATGGTAAACTCTTCTTTATTTCGATGACATATATACTTATTTTGAATTTATCTAATGTTAAATTTTCAGCCCGAAGGTATTTGTGTATTTTTGCGCAAAATAAGATTTGCTTATTAACAAATATGGCGTAAATTCGTCTATACAACTGCGCATGCTCGAAAAAAAGAGTACGCTGAAAACATAAAAAGCGGAAAGCTAGAAAATATACGAAAAAAAATGAGGAAAGAAAAGACCACAGCATTGGAGAGCAAGATTCACTCCCCCTACTATCCACAAAGGTATTTCGAGTCAACAAGTCCTTTTTATTTTGTATCGAATACATTGTAGATCTAGTTTGGGCTTTTTTTTAACTAAAATTTCATCAAAAAATAAAATTTCAATACAGGCTTGTACATTTATATGGAACTAGATTGTTAATAAATGTCTTGTCAGATGAAAAAATTCTAAGTAAAGTATTTGCAATATTTAGAGTTTTTGTAAGAGTTTTAGATATATATTTAAAACAACAACAACAAACTAACAAGAGATTTATTGGACTAGACACTCGGATATATGCTTAACCCGTGCATGTGCTATATCTTACATTATTTGTTATATGGTTAAGTGGGGTCTTTATCTTTAAGCAATCATAACAATATGCATTATCAGTCTTGCCTGGTTCCCTGCCTTCATTTACCACGGTAAGTAATATAAAATTTCTCAAATGATTAAGCCTTAAATAAGGAACTCCAGACAAACTATAGTCTATTTTTAGGTTAAATAGTCTGCTCATTTATATAACCCATTTCGGAAGTAATGCAAACAACGTACTGTTGTTATATAATAGCGATCTACCATGGATTAAAAATTTTCATTGATAAATAGTATAACATTTGAGTGCAATTTCACACTGAAGGATATAAATAAAGAACGAAGACTCGACATCAGCAACATTTATTTTGTATTATAACTATAAGTTATATAATACTATATACTATACTATATATAATACTATACGAGAACTTAATTATTCAATATTTTAAAGATAAATATGCTTCCTGCTCCTCTACTTGTACTCCTGTTTATAACCATTTATTACCATTTCTTGAAAAATAGTGTTGCCATAGAACGAATTTTGGTAGGGTAAAGTTGTCAAACTTTATTTATTGTCAGTATAACTAATTGAAATTTTTGAAATTGCTGACAAATTATTAAATGGTTGACTTTCTACCTAAACTATCAAGATGAAGTCAATTAAAACAAGGCAGCGGCAAAGGATAAGAGTATAATCATTTTTAAAGTAAATCGATACACCCACTTAAAATGATTGATATAAAAGAGTTAATGAAATAAGTCAGACTTTCATTACAATTAAAAAAAAACCCACACACATATTACATAAGATATTAATACTTATTTGCCATTTCAAAAATGGTTGTGATTGTGACATGAGTTTTTAATGATTTCATTTATACTTTCTCGGGTTATTTAAATTCATGATACTTGTATAGAATGAATTTATGCTCATGAATCACCAATGCCATTGATTAAATTTATCATTTTTCACATTTATGCGTAAAACACAAACTAAACACAAATTTGGTTGAAGTGTCTGAATTAGTAACTATTCGCCACAATAACAATTCGCCACATAACGATTCGCTACAATCAAAAAAGATTCGCCACAATTAAATAACGATTAACCAACGTATGATTATAACAATAATTTTCTTAGTTTGATTCGTCCTAGTTCAATTAAACAAGCATTTTTTAAATAAATTGACAATGCCAATAATTATGTTTTTAATATAAGTACATGTAATATGAAATTAAGGCCCCAGCGCTGATTTTCAATTTGAAGCATTTTGTTTACAATAAAAATTTTAATAATGGATAAAACAGCCTTTTTCATTGGTTGTTTTGCAAAAGTAACGCAGAATTGTGTGATTTAGTGGCTAAAACGAGCACCGTGAGAAGTAAATAGATCAATATTGTTACTGTACACTAATTAAATTGGAAGCATACGGTTGCTAAGACATTATACTTTATAAACCTCATCAAAAATATTTTTTATGAAAATGTTTATTTTTCAAGATCATTCGTAAAAAAGACTTGACTAGCATATTGATGGCGATGTTGAGTTTCATTGTTTTTTTTAAATACAATAACGTACATAATACTTTATGATTTTTTATATTCGGTGTACCTGAGACATTTTCCAATCTATTCGTGTCATGTTATACGTAATTTAGCAGATAAAACGTAATTGATACCATTTTTACGAGGTAACGCCGAATTCGTGAATAAGGCACTGAAGCAACGGTGGTCATCTCACTAAAAGTAGCTAAATTTTATTTTACCAGCTTCCTTCTTTTGTTATACGACATTTGTAGTTTGATTTTTTATCAACTGTAGACATTTCGTGGGATCGGTCTAAAACGCAGATGCTTAGTTATGCAGACAATATACGTAGACGCAGACAATATAGATATAGAGTGTTTTCACAAAACGCAGACACTATAGAAGAAGAGGTGTAAATTAGACATGTAAAAGCTGTTTAGATTTGTATTTCAAGATTTTAAGATATTAGAGATTTATATGTATTGTATGTATTAATATTTGATAATAAATATGAATTTTAAAGAAAAGAAATATTTTGTTTATGACTTTTTAGTATGATAATATCAAGAAATTAGAAGGGTTTTTGTCACAAAAACATATGTCTCCAAAAACTATGTATGGTCACTCATGTGAAATTTCGTTGAAATCCCACCAGAAGCTTTACCTGTGAAAGCCGGAAAAGATTTTTCTATTTACAGCTATGATGGCCATTGTGTGCAGCCAGGCGGAACGTGCCGGTGATGTGCACAGCTATGGATGGTACCGATCACTCCTGTAAAGTTTGGTTGAAATCCCACCAGTAGTTTGACATGAAGGCTGGACAAGAATTTTCTATTTTTAGCTCTGGCGGTCATTTTGTGCAGCCAGGCGGAACGTGCCATTATGTGCACAACTAGGGATGGTACTGATCACTCCTGTATAGTTTGGTTGAATCCCACCAGTAGTTTGACCTATGAAGGCCGGACAAGATTTTTTCTATTTTTAGCTCTGGCGGCCATTTTGTGAAGCGAAGCGAAACGTGCCGGTGATGTGCACAACTAGGGATGGTACTGATCACTCCTGTATAGTTTGGTTGAATCCCACCAGTAGTTTGACCTATGAAGGCCGGACAAAATGTTTCTATTTTTAGCTCGGGCGGCCATTTTGTGCAGCGAAGCGAAACGTGCCGGTGATGTGCACAACTAGGGATGGTACTGATCGCTCCTGTAAAGTTTGGTTGAAATCCCAATAGTAGTTTGACCTGTGAAGGCCTGGCAAGATTTTTTCTATTTTTAGGCCCTGGCGGCCATTTTGTACAGCGAAGCGGAACGTGCCTGTGATGTGCACAACTATGGATGGTACTGATCACTTCTGTAAGGTTTGGTTGAAATCTCATCAGTAGTTTGACCTGTGAAGGGCGGACAAGCTTAATGCGGACGGACGGACAGACAGACGGCGAGGGCAAAAACAATATGTTTCCCAAAAATGTTAGGAGACATAATAATAAATAGTGATATAAAAAAGGATTTTTGACATGTATACTATGATCATTTGATTAGCAGATATAAATGTGGGGGGGGGGATTAAAAATAAAAAAATCTGGAAACAAAGTGATCCCTCGGAAGCATTAATCACAACAAAATAACATAAGAATTGCAGACTCGGTTTATCATATTTTTTGATTGAGTCTGTACATGAGGAATAATGAATAGGTGCAACATCCCTCACGCCCCCTAGCACCGGCTTGAGCGGTACCCAACTCTCAACACTTTATAGTGCTGGCATCAATGATCCCGAAGGACCAGAAAAATATAACAACACTGAAGTGAAGTACGGGGCAACTTTTTACAGCTGCCACACAGCATTTGACACCTGCTGTTGTGAAGTATAAAAATCTGGAAACAAAGTCAATCAAACAAAGTCAAAGCCACTCCAACTCCAACTTTTCTAATCGATTTAGGTCATTTTGAAGTTTGACTGATTGGTGTGCAGATGTCAGAGCAATGTATATTGCAGTATCGTCTGCAAACAAGCGGACCTGAGAATTTATGTTATGCGGGAGGTCATTTGTATAGGTGAGAAACAGGAGAGGTCTTAGGGCAGAGCCTTGGGGGACACCTGAGGATGGGGATGGGGTTTGAGCAGCTGCCATTGAGCACAACAGTCTGCTGCCTGTTATCAAGAAAACTTTTGACCCATTTTAAAGTTTGACCTCTGATTCCATAGTCATGTATTTTCAGTAGTACATTCTCATGGCTAACCTTGTCGAAAGCCTTACTGAAATCTAAAAGTAACAGATCTACTTGTTTTTTCTCATATACTGAGGTGACCAGGTCATTTACCAACATTACAAAATTTGGAAACAAAGTGATCCCTCGGAAGCATTAATCACAACAAAATTACATAAGAATTGCAGACTCGGTTTGATTGAGTCTGTACAGCTGCCACACAGCACTTGACACCTGCTGTTGTGAAGTATAAAAATATATAACTTATATTAGACATTTTAAGTTAAATAAAAGTTAATTCAAATCAAGTAAAGTATACATGTCAAAAATACTTTTTTATATTACTATTTTTATTTATTGATACTATCATACTAAAAAATCATGAATAAAATATTTATAATCTTTAAAATTCTAATTTATGATCAAATGTTAATTCCTGTAAATCTCAAATATCTAAAACATTAACCTAAACAGCTTTTACGTGTCTAATTTACACCTTCTTGTTATATTTTGTCTGCGTTTTGTGAATTCACTCGATATTTATATTGTCTGCGTTTTAATACTATAATTATTGTCTGCATAAGCGTTGTGGTCATTTCGTGAAAAAGCAATTCAGTTCGCTTTTCTTAAACCGGAAACTGTTGACGTTTGCATAAACAGGTGCTCTTGACGTGGAGAAAAAGATAAAATTTAGGCGAACATTAGACCCGTTTTATACTTAAATTAAAAGAAAAAGCGACGAGAAAAATGCATATGCTAAGAAGGGACAAGAAAGAGGAAGAAGAGGGTAATTTGAGTTTTGTATGGTCTAATCTTCGTATCAAAATATTACGCCGAAAAGTGTCCTGCCAAAAATCTTCATACTTATCAAAAGTTTTGTCATATCAACTAAAGATTTTATTGTGTCTAAAATAGGACTACTTTGTCCATCTGGTGCAGCAGACGTTCCACTCTCAAGAGGAAACACACTGTATATAATATGGAATTGTCTGTTCGTAACACTGACGATTCGTCCCAAGACGGGTCGACCCACATCGGGTCGACCCACTTGACGTCTTTGGAAGATTTGCCACTCTTATGTGACGATTCACCGTTGTTATGAAACATATAATTCATTTATTTAAATTGAAACTGTTATGGAATATTTTTTTTAATTGGTAAGTTATGATATTCAACTAATTTGTAGTGGGAGGATGTTTCACTTTAAAAGACGGTTCACACCAAGACTTTTCACTCCCTTTGTATACCAAAATTTTCTAAGACTTATTATGATATACTAAAATAGACTTTAAATTTAATAAAAGTGAATTACGAAAGGGAATTTCACTTTTTGTTAATGACTTTTTAGCTCACCTGAGCTTGCTCAGGGTGAGCTATTAGGATCGGTGAATGTCTGTCGTACGTCCACCACACTAGTGGTCACACTTATGACTCAATCATCATCAAACTTTGTCAGGATGCTTGTTTAGTCAATTGCTCAGGTGAGTTCGAAACTGGGTCATTCGGATGGAAAAGTAGGTCAAAGGAGCTAAAAATAGAGAAACCTTGTGAACACTCTAGTGGTCACATTTTTGACCCAATCATCATCAACCTTTGTCAGAATGCTTGTTTAGATTATTGCTTGGATGAGTTCGAACATGGGTCATCTCCGATGAATATCTAGGTCACAGGAGCTATAAATAGAAAAACCTTGTGAACACTCTAGTGGTCACATTTTTGAACCAATCATCATCAAACTTGGTCAGAATGCTTGTCTAGTCAATTGCTTGGATGAGTTCGAACATGGGTCATCTCTGATGAAAAAGTAGGTCACCGGAGCTAAAAATAGAAAAACCTTGTGAACACTCTAGTGGTCACTATCATCAAACTTTGTCAGGATGCTTGTTTAGATAATTGCGCAGATGAGTTCGAATATGGGTCATCTCTGATGAAAAACTAGGTCACAGGAGCTATAAATAGAAAAACCTTGTGAACACTCTAGTGGTCACATTTTTTACCCAATCATCATCAAACTTAGTGTGGATGCTTGTCTAGTCAATTGCTCAGATGAGTTTGAATATGGGTCATCTCTGATGAAAAACTAGGTCACAAGAGCTAAAAATAGAAAAACCTTTTGAACACTCTAGTGGTCACATTTTTTACCTAATCATGATCAAACTTTGTCAGGATGCTTGTTTAGATAATTGCTTTGATGAGTTTGCACATGGTTTATCTCCGATGAAAAACTAGGTCACAGGAGCTATAAATAGAAAAAACCTTGTGAACACTCTAGTGGTCACATTTTTGACCCAATTATTAAGAAACCTTGTCAGGATGCTTGTTTAGTCAATTGTTTGGATGAGTTCGAACATGGGTCATCTCGGGTGGAAAACTAGGTCACAGGAGCTAAAAATAGAAAAACCTTGCGAACAGTCTAGTGGTCACATTTTTGACCCAATCATCATCAAACTTTGTCAGAATGCTTGTCTAGTCGATGCTTGGATAAGTTTGAACATGATTTATCTCGGATGGAAAACTAGGTCACAGGAGCTAAAAATAGAAAAACCTTGTGAACACTCTAGTGTCACATTTTTGACTCAATTATCATCAAACTTGGTCAGGATGCTTGTCTAGGAAATTGCTCGAATGTCAAGCTCAAATATGGGTCACCTGGGGTCAAAAACTAGGTCACACTGTTCAAATATGGATAATCCTTGTTAACACTAGTGGTCACATTTTTGACACACCTGTCATGAAACTTGGTCAGAACGCTTGTCTAGGTAATTGTTCGGATGAGTTTGACAGGTCAGGTGAGCGATCTAGGGCCATCATGGCCCTCTTGTAAATTACTATTAGTAAATCAGATTGATGTTCAGTGTTAATTATGTACCCATGACCCCATGGCTAATCTTCCATTGAGCCAAGCCCTGCAAGACATTATACATTTGATAACAAAAAATATGAGGAATGATCAAAACGTTATTGGCCTGATATACTTCTAGCCACTACACTGACATTTATATATGATACGTTGATACCGATATCTTATTGAAGATTATCAGGTGATAATCATGATTGACTATCTTGAGCAAGGTTGTACCATAAACGGTACATACTAAGCAGACGAATTGAGATGTCTACGTCAAGAAATCGCGCTTAAAAGGAGGGGCAAACTGACTTGAGGCGTTCTGCTCTTGCACGACAATGCACCAGCTCACAAGTTGCGATGGCTGCTACATCGAGCCAAGAACTTTTTGATCAATCCTCTTAAATATAACCATATTTTAAGGCAGGGTGGCCTGTCTCAAAATATTGTCTGAAAACATGCATTAAATTTAAAAAAGCCATTTCTTAAGTTTTAAAAATATGAGTTATTATGTCAGGCACATTATTTGGAACTTACAAGAATTTACAAGCAGATGCAGCTCACACTTCCAATAATTTTCTTGACATGCATTGACAAACAATTTTAAAGTATATAAACAATGTTCTATGTGAAATAAAGCTTTGATATTCATTGCAGGAGGAGGTAACCCATTTCATAACCTTGACAAGACAACAGTTTTACAAGAGGTAAGCATCATGCATATTTACAACCTGCAAATATTATGACATAACCTAAGGGTTTGTAAATTCAATCTGTAAGAGAATAGCACAAAGCTATGTTTAGAATGGACAATTGAATGTCTGACATTACGGGGACATAAATCGTCTCCGGGACACCTCCATGATAGTGTGGGACAGTCCCGGATGTCCAGGATGTTATGACAGTGTAAGAAATTAGGATTTGAATCAACTAGGCTGGTCTGACAACCAGATCGGAATATTCACTAGCCCAAAAGACAATTCACTAGCATGATTCATTTGTTCAAAACAGTTGTTTATATTGCCTCTGAAAATACAGTAGCCTGGTGGGGCGTGTTACTGTGAAAAGTTGGTAGCCCAAGGAGAAATTTAGTAGTCTGGGGCTATAGGTCTACTGCTAATTTCGAACACTGTTATGATATATATTAACATATTAATGCATGGCTTTAAAAGACAATTTTGATTTTCAAAAACATATCTTTCATTTAAAGGTTTGAAAAAACTTTGATTTGAAAAATAAATTGTATTTACCTAGTTTTTCATATTGATATGAAATAATATAATTGTTGAGTGTAACATAAATGACTGAGAAAATGCATTTCATCAGTAACAATGGTAACAACTTTCATTTACATGAAAATTTGTTGGTTTTGAAATACACCTATCATGAATATTTGGATACATTCTTTGTAGGCCAGAACATTCAACGAGACGCCAATAAACCCAAGAAAATGTGGTATGATCTTGACAAAGGTTCTGTATATGATCAATCAAGGAGATCAGGCTATTGGTGCTACAGAGGCCACAGAAGCTTTCTTTGCCATGACCAAGCTCTTCCAATCTAAAGATGTGAGTATTTATCTCTAAAAAACATAATGTAAAGAATATAGCTGTTGCTTTCTGAAGGGGTAAAGGTAGCTTGGTAAATCAGAAAAGGGAATAAGATTGAAATTTAGAATGTGACAAAGACACACATAAACATGCAAGTTACATAGCCCAGGCTATCTATAGTAATCTGTCTTTTTGTCCGAAGTCATTTATCAACAAGCTTATTTAAGCATGCTGCTGTAAAGTATGATCACAAATGGTGACAAATGTGTAGGGAAATGTAGAGCATTTTTAAGGGGGAAAAAAGAGCTTTTTAGGCAAGGGCAATTAGCAGATATTGGACTTTAAAATATACGGAATAAATGGTATGTCATCATTACTATTCATCGTAAATGACCAGTGTGGCATGAAAGATTTTTAAGAATTCAACTTTAAAAAATAAAGGTATCATGCTATGTGTATGAATCAGTATGAATTGTTTAAGCATAAATAAGACGCTTTTAATGGTTATTGTTTATAATTTAATCTCTCAGACTCTCTTCTTCATAATGAAATTCCTATGCATTTCGTAAAAGAAACTGATGGTTAAAAGGCAGCAATGAATATTTTAATGAACACATTAAGTCAAACTTTGTTTTAGAGGGATTACTTTGACCTTAGTTTGTAACATATCAGATATGTATACCAATATATTCCAACTTATTCCTATTTGTTTTGACAGCCAACATTGAGGCGTTTGATGTACATGGGTATCAAGGACATGTCTAAAATAGCAAATGATGTCATCATTGTAACCAGCAGGTAATATCTTGAACATACTGTGAAATCATTTGTATTCGTGGGCATGAAATTTCGTGGTTTTATCAAAACTGGCATTTTCAAGGGGTTCTTAAATTCGTGGATTTTCATTTTCTTGTAAAAAAAAAGCAATGGAAAGTAATCTTTCACTTAATCACCGGGCTGTTTTAATTACCGCGTGTATATAACACAGCTCGTGTCAATTATTTTAATCCTTGCCTTTGGCAATAACACGGTTACTGCCGATAATTGACGGCAATTAACACGTTTGTGTGACATGATATGCAGCTCCATCGGTAACACTGCCCCTATAATTCGCCAATGTAAACATCGCCTAAATTATACGATATCTGCCACTTTTTAACCAGCGAATCGGTCCAAAACTACACACTACGTCACATCGACTGTGTAAATTTATATGCATATAAATTAATCAGAATAAGTGCCTAAATACAGTTAGATATGTATGTGTGTATCTAGTAAAAAGACGACGGCTTCTTTGATATTTTCGGAGTAGCAGTCACACAAATTCATATTGAAATTTATTTAAATGGATAATATAAACACTAGTCGTGTAAAGTTTTATAGGTGCTATTTAATGCACTGGGTTCCCATATTTACTCGATTATGCAAAGTATTCTAGCTAATACAATCAAGTAGCCTATAGCGATCAAGTACTAGTAGTCCCCCGGATGTTTATATGCGACGAACATTTATGACAGCAAATTGAAGATATACAATCGATTTTTTTTCAAGTTTCTTAAATTTTGCAAAACTTAATTAAAATTTTTATGGATCTAATTTGTCACTGACCTGATTATTAGTATACATTCAAACGTGTACCACAAGAATCGGCCGGAAAAGCGCCGACGCATGTTGTGATAAATGGAACAGAGAAATGGTAAAAAGTATTTGTTGAGATAAAATTTCGTCGGGTCTTAAATTCGTGGATTGACCTATCCACGAAAACCACGAAAATTCGTGCCCCACGAATAATAATGATTTCACAGTATATGCTAATTGGTTTTTTGAGTATAAAAATAGATCACAGGGAACTTCTGAAGTTTTCAAGATTGTTATAGTTATTTGTACCAGACTTACCAGGAACTTCCATGACTTAATGAATAAGTTACTGACTTAAAATCTGTAGCTGTATATTGTTGCTAGTGTGATTCCCATATTAATCAATTTCCCTTCTGACTTGGGGGGGGGAGGGGGATTCAGCCAGAGTGTGGTAGGTTGCTGGTTCAAAAACAACTACTTTTACCTGAAAACATACACTTTGAAACATTTATGTTAGGCTTAAACATTTATTACTGTGAATCACAATGTGTTGAAGTGACTTGGCAAAGAAAAGAAAGAAGTTTGGCTTTCTCCAAATAGCATATTTCTAGTATAACTATAATGTATTGGAATCACAGCAAAACAATTATAGATGTTATATTTAATTTTTCAGTTTGATGAAGGATATGACGGGAAAAGATGATCAATTCCGTGGACCTGCCATACGAGCCCTTTGCTCTATCACTGATGTAAGGAATATTATATAGTGCTATTTTGTTTGTTTTTTGTGTTTTTTTACAAACAAGGATAAGGTTTAAAGAAATACACATATTTAGTATGATAGCATAACTGCATAGCATTTAATCAATAATTAATCATTACCATTTTGTTGGATGGAAATAATGTTGCACTAGTTTGATAACTCTTGTTTGATTGTATTATATTCTCATTTTCATTCTGTTATTTGCTACAGAAATAGGCACTCTGATGATACACTAAAATAAAATAAAATGTTATTTCAAATCTGTCACTTAATTAAAAGCTACCTCACTGATCTAATGATTTATTATCTGTGAATGTATATGAAAAATTTGTTCTTGTAAAAGTCATGGATAAAAATCATGGATGATTCAAGGAAAGTGCAGAACAGTTTTATAAAAAAATACAACAAAACAACTGATGAAGGCATCTAGCCGTAACATCTGCAGTCTGCAATGAATAATTACTGATTGTTCGTATTTGTGTGGCTTGTTTGTTAAACAATTTTATCAGAAAACTAAGAATGCAGTTGTTCTGTATTGAAGTTTTAAACATAATATTACTATTATTGGAATTTGTCTTTTATTTCAGACAACAATGTTACAGAGTATAGAGAGATATATGAAGCAGGCAATTGTAGATAAAAATCATGCCGTGTCTAGTGCAGCTCTCGTCTCGTCACTGGTAAGTTTCTATTTATAGAATTAAAATCAAACATTTTGAGTGCTACTGGCTATAAAGTTATGTCTATGACACAAGTACAGGACCTGGTCTGATGGTTTACTCATACCTAGATGTTCAGATAATGAAATGCCTCGGGTTAACATTTAACATTTCCAAATTCAAAATGCAACCCAAGTTCTTTGGACTCGATCCATTAGGTGAAATGGCATTAAAAGTTTTATATTTGTGGTGCTTTAAATGAAATCCCATGATCAAAGATATTGTAAAAATTTGTATATATAATAGATTATAGATATTTAAAGATAAAATTTAATTTGTAAAATCATATCTAATTTTTAAGTGTTGTATTTTATCTAAAAACATGATGTAGTTGTAAATATAACTATGTTTGACTTTTAGCATTTGAGCAAAGGAAGTCAAGATGTGACAAAACGTTGGGTGAATGAGGCACAGGAGGCTGTTTCTAGTGATAATGTCATGGTCCAGGTAAAATCTTATTTCTTCAGAATGTTTTAGTGACACCTAAGATAAAAATCATTGTGGTAGCTTTATAGATATGTTCATTGATATATACTAAAGGTACTAAAGATTTAAGCTAAGATGCTATTTCGATATTTCGAAATTCATTTTTTGGGGGGGAAAAAATGCAAACTAACTTTAATTATTTTATCTATTCAAATGACAGCTGTACTGGTCAGATCCATGAAACAGGATTCAGAAGTGATTAATATTAGTTGCAAGAACTTGTTTTGCTATCCAGCTTAAATAAATAAAATATGTTTAAAGTAATTACTTGGCTGTGTCATTTCACAGTGTTATAATTATATGTTTCATATAATTTCAGTATCATGCTCTTGGATTATTGTACCACATCAGGAAGCATGATAAACTTGCTGTCACGAAGCTTGTTAGCAAGTTCAGCAAACATTCTCTCAAGTCACCATATGCTTACTGTCTTTTGGTAAGGACTCACTTTATGTATATTTAATATACTAAATACTTTAAGTAAGTCTATATCTGTAATAGTTAATAAATCAAAATTTTTGTAAATATTGGAAACTGATTTATCCTTTCAAATTTCAATATTTTGCATAATCATTGAAAAGAATTTTACTGGCTAAACCATAATACCTCATGAAAAAAATAACCAATGCAACAAAAAAACACTAGAAGTATTCAAGGAGTCTTTAATTTAAGGTGTTGATAATGTTTTTGATGTAGAATTTTTAGTTATGGAATATATTTTAGAAATGTTACTGATTTATTATCGGAAACTTTTCAAAGACATGCATAAAATGAATTAAACATTGCAGTATTAAATTGGTTTTATTTTCAAATATTTAGATCCGCATAGCAAGTAAACTGTATGAGGATGACGATGCTGCAAACAGCTCCCAGATGTTTGACTTTATTGAAAGTTGTCTCCGTCATAAGAGTGAGATAGTGATCTACGAGGCGGCCCACGCCATGGTAAACATGAAGGGTATCACCGCCAAGGAGCTCGCGCCTGCTGTATCTGTCCTACAGTTGTTCTGTAGCTCTCCCAAACCAACACTTAGATTTGCAGCAGTGAGGACTCTGAATAGGGTATGTCTCAGTTAACATATAATTATTGAAACATTACTTAAATATAAGTCGAGAGAGGAAAGGTCTGTCATAAATAAATATAGATTTTGGTTTGATTCTTGTTATTTTTTTGTTCTGAATGATTTCTATTTACGAGCGCTATCAAATATGTTAAGGTAATCTCAGACATCAGCTCTTAGTAAATGTTAAAGCAAATGTATATTCAGAAAATTGCAAATCAGATACCGAAAAAATTTAGAATAATTATCATGTAACATATGTGAGATGATAAATATTTTATTAGAATTCTTTAAGTCAAGTTGTTTCTTAGGTATCATGATTAATAAAAAAATAAAAGATCAAAGTAACTTGATAAAATTAAAGTAATGCTTTTTTTAAATGTAATTTGCTGATATAGATTTATGTGAAATTAGAACATTTATCTAATTTATTCAGGTTGCCATGAAACATCCAGCTGCTGTTACAGCATGTAACCTTGACCTTGAGAATCTGATCACCGATAGTAACCGTAGCATAGCAACATTGGCAATTACCACTCTGCTTAAGGTAAAGAAAGTTTGTATTGAATCAACTTAAGAAAGCCTTAGTATTGATCATAATTGTAACATGTTTGCATACAGAATTAGGCTGATTTCATGTTAAATTTTAATGCGATGTGACTAAATATATGCTTGTATAACAATAAATATGTAAAATGTAACTTATGCTGTAACACTTGCACATTCACAAATACTTATAGGTGGACCTTAGAATTCATTGAAAATATACTTGTTAAAGCTTGGAATGCAATAATCTGTCTTTATTTAGATGCAATAGGTAAATTAAAGTACCAAAAATACCTCAAATTTGTTGAAATAGGCCTCGTGGATTAAGGATTACTTTGAAACCAGTTATAAACAAATTATTTACCATGATACAATTTGCAACATTTCAGACTGGTAGTGAGAGCAGTGTAGACAGACTAATGAAGCAGATCTCCTCGTTCATGTCGGAAATCTCCGATGAATTCAAGATTGTAGTTGTACAGGCCATACAATCTCTATGCCTGAAATATCCCCGTAAACACGGTGTCATGATGAACTTTCTCTCCTCCATGCTTCGTGAGGAAGGTGGCTTTGATTACAAGAAGGCTATTGTAGACAGCATAATTACCATCATTGAGGATAACTCCGAGGCTAAAGAAGCTGGTCTGGCACATCTGTGCGAATTTATCGAAGATTGTGAGCACACTGTCCTTGCTACAAGAATTCTTCACCTGCTCGGTAGAGAGGGGCCGAGGACACCAACTCCATCTAAGTATATCCGGTTCATTTACAACCGAGTGATTCTGGAGAATGCAGCTGTAAGAGCAGCTGCTGTGACAGCCATGGCAAAGTTCGGTGCTCATTGTGACGAGTTATTGGATAGCTGTGTTGTATTGCTGGAGAGATGTGAACTAGACTCAGATGATGAGGTCAGGGACAGGGCAACCTTCTATGTTAGAGTTCTTAGAGAGAGGCAGAAGGCCCTCAATTCTGCATACATTCTTAATGGTAAAGATATTACAAATCCTGCATAAAATGCAAAGAATTTGTGTTAAACTTCAAGCAAACTTTCATTGTTTAGTGATTCTTTAATCAGTATATCTGTTTTGCTATGTCATATTTAATTTATACTATAATGGCAAGAAAAGAGTAATTTACATGTAAACATACATTTTTCTGTCAATAAGATCTTGTGTTTTACAGTGAAGGGGTAATTTCACAAATTTAGATACCAATACATGTATTGATATTTTTCTAAGTAAAAAATTTAATGTTTGTATCTCTTCTTGAGCAGTGTATTTCTGTATTACAGGTTTACAAGTTTCTGTGGTTGGATTGGAACGTGCCTTGCATCAGTACACCCTGGAACCGTCTGAGAAACCATTTGATATGAAGACTGTTCCACTTGCCACTCAACCTATCACTGACACCAGATCTCTACCTGGTAATTATTGTTCCCTTATAATTGTCAATTGAATGTGCTGGAAATAATTCAGCCTAAGCGGCATCATTGGTCTTTCTGTGTCTGTGGAGCTGGAAGGCGTTGGTACCTTAACTATTTTACATATTGATACACATCGGTTCTGAAGTAAAACAATGTATTCCTATTCTATAACATCTGCAATCCTAAACCTTGCATTAAAGATCACTATAAATTTGTTATTTAAGTCATATATTTTATCAGTGTTGGTGCTGATTTTTACCATTATGTTGTGAAATTACAGTTTGAACGTTTAATATGATGACCTAACCTATGCTTGTTTGAGGTTTGTAATTCATACACAGACTGTGTCATATGGTGTGTTATGAAACATATGTACATTTTCATATTTAATTATATTAATGTGTTTATGTGAATAAAAGTAATGAGGGTATAGCATATGAATATTTCTTAGCAATAGATTTCTGATGAAATAATGACTTCCATTACTTTTATAGGTAAGGAAGCAGGAGACACAATGACTGCTAAACCTACAGATAAAGTGGCCTCTTCCAGACAGGATGTGTATGCTGGTATGTACTGATTTAAATTGAATTCTTTGTAAAATAATTTGTCTGTTCTCAAAAACGGGTTTGTTTACTTCAATGACCTTACAAAAATGAGCTTTCATGTACCATGATATTTGGGAGATTCTTCATTGGGGGAAACAGACAGTCAATAGCAAAGTTAGTTACATGTGTTTGCAAAATACAAAGTGATAGTAATAAAAAATCTGAAGTAAAATTAAAATTCTATGACTTTATTGTTTTAAATGACAAAGTAGAAAAATGAAGTAATATTTATTCCTTGGCAGTGTGTTTTTATGCTCCCCGAAAAATTTCGGGGGAGCATATAGTCGGCGCCTTGTCCGTCTGTCCGTCCTTCTGCACTCACAGGACAGTAATTATGTGGCTAGAGGGACAATAGGTAACTGTTCTTTCTCTTTGATGTCATTCATTCCGTAATGCTTTTATGTGGCTATTTTCTTTTGTGTGGCTTAAAAGAACAATAGAGAGAACAATAGAGTAGCCACATTATTACTCTCCTGTTAGAACATCCGTCTGTCCGCCCTTCCGTCTGTCCGTCCGTTGTCTTGTCCGGAGCATAAGTTGAAAACCCTTGGAGATAATTTGTTGAAACTTCATACAGTGGTAGAGGGCATTGAGGGGGAGTGCAGTGTCAAAGAACCATAACTCTATTTTGCCCGGTTTTTGAATTATTTCCCCTTATAGAAAAATCTTGTCCGGGGCATAACTCTAAAACTATAAGAGATATCAACATGAAACTTTGTAGGTGAATAGATCTCAATGGGTAGATGTGCAGTGCATAAGAACAATAACTCTTTTTGTCCTTATTTTGGAGTTATTGCCCTTTGTTTATTTAACACTTTGAACTTTGTCCGGAACATAACTCTAAAACTATAAGAGATATCAAGATGAAACATTGTAGGTAGATAGATCTCATTGAGAAGAGGTGCAGTGCAAAAGAACCATAACTCTGTTAAGCCTCATTTTTGAATTATCTCCCCTTTTAGAAAAATCTTGTCCAGGACATAGCTGTAAAACTATAAGAGATATCAACATGAAACTTTGTAGGTAGATATATCTCAATGGGTAGATGTGCAGTGCACAAGAATCATAACTCTGCCTTGCCTAATTCTGGAGTTATTGCCCTTTGTTTATTTTTACTTTTTGAAATTGTCAGGGACATAACTCGGAAATCATAAGAGATATCATCAAGAAACTTTGTAGGTTGATAGATCACATTGATTAGAAGTGCAGTGCAAAGAACAGTTACTCTGCCTTGCCTAATTTTGGAATTATTGCACTTTGAACTTTTGCCAGGGACATAACTCTGAAACTACAAGAGGTGTACTTTCTGTGTCCAAAACCTATTCGGGGAGCATCACCCGGCTCAAACCGGGCTCTTGTTGAGAAATTGTCAGTTGTGGAAATTTCATATGAGATGTGTATATGTTTTACAGAGCAACTTGCTGCAATACCAGACTTTGCAAATCTTGGGTCCCTATTCAAGTCTTCAAGCTTACCTGTTGAGCTTACTGAGTCGGAGACCGAATATGTGGTGCGCTGTGTCAAGCATACCTACTCTAGATACATTGTGTTCCAGGTAAACCTCATATTATATAGCAGTATTATTAGTAGTTATTTTCTTCTTGTAAGACGGATTGAACAGTTTTGTATACTTTTGTTTACTAATTTCTTGACTTGTTGAAGCTATAGGCAGTTCTTAACTTAAAAAATGTTTCTGTTTCTTTTCCTATGCAAAACAGCAAATTTAAGTTATTTGCATTTTGTATATTATTTCACTCTAGTTTGACTGTACGAACACGTTGAACGATCAAGTATTGGAGAAGGTTACTGTAAGCATGGAACCAGTAGATGGGTTTGAGGTCATCAAGTATATACCTTGTGCAAGTCTACCATATGATACACCTGGCACAGCATATACCCTCGTCAGACTTCCTGAAGATCCTACGATGGGTAAGATTACATTTTATGATACATTGTTCTATTTCTCTTGACTTTTACTCAGTTATCCATGAGAGTCATGCGATATTCTTTTAATTTCTTATCTGAAATGATTGAAAAGTTCACTATTCATTCTTTAATGAATATAACTAAGGGTAGGGATAACCGACAGATGCATAAAGAAAACAAGGATATTGTTGTCATGGATGCGAAACATTGATTAGCCAGTATCACTTAACAATTTAAATTATCAATACCATTAAAAACCCATTTTTCCAGTTTTGTAAAAAAGTCTATGTATTTTGTTTGAATGGAGGTAAAATTTCTTTTCTTTTGTTTTTTTTTCTTGGCTAGCTTGAACCCTTAATTTAATTGTCAGAGGTAAAAATGAATGATCAACAGTTATAATTTCCTTAAGTATGATGTATATGTGATTCCTAACATGCATTATACTATGGCGACAGTTTATATCATTTATTTGAATAGTTTACAATGTACTAGCTAGTTCATTGATATGATATATTTGATCTATATCTGGCATATTTTTATGTACTAAAATTTTTTTCCAATGTACTAGCTATTTAATTTGATAATGTCATCAATATCCAGCTTTCGATATATCAGTGCAACATTTTCTATGGATGGCATTCTAATTCAGCATGATATATGGTATTATAATTTCAGTGACTGGAACATTCAGCTGTACATTGAAGTTTACAGTAAAGGACTGTGATCCTAACACAGGAGAAGCTGATGATGAAGGTTATGATGATGAATATGTGGTATGTTTATTATATGAATTATCAAAGATGCCATTTTATATGAAAATTTAGTAATCATTTAAGAAAATGGAAATATATACATGTATGAGAACATTTGTGTGACCTTGCAACCTTATCTGGCTATTATTATCATCGCTTTGTTCACAAATGCTTATTTGTCAACTTAATTGTAAAATTTTGAAATGATCTTATTTACTAAATTAAGCTGTGCATATATTGCCTTTCATTAGTTAGCTATTATAAAAAGTCAACGTTTATTTTTCATGGAGATGTAATAAGTTTAATTCTTTGAATTTAAAAAACTTATCACATTGATTTAGTAAAAGGGAGAGAGAAAAAACCTGACATGCACATTAATTTTGTTAATAATTAATCTAATCTAAAGGAAAATCTTTTAAGGTGGATGATAAAGAGATTAATGAAAGCACATTTTATAAAAAAGACACATTTTGCTTAATTACAAAGCTTGATGATTATGTAATATATGTATAATGATGTAATACAGTTGGAAGATGTAGAAGTTGCTGTTGCTGACCATGTACAGAAAGTGATGAAACCAAACTTTGGTGCATCTTGGGAAGAAGTTGGCCCAGACAATGAGTTAGAAGATACCTATGCCCTGTCTACAATGAAAACTTTAGAAGGTATTCTTGTCTTACAGGCTATAAAATCATCTTGATGTGTACATTTTCAGTAGTACAAAAATTTGAATATTGTCGTAAATTGGTAATCAAACTTGGTGAAATCTTTTTTGTATGCAGGCAGATTTGATGTCTACTTCAGAATTATTTTTTTTAGACTTCAGAATTATTTTTATGCCCCCACAGAGTGGGAGCATATAGCGTTGCACTTGTCCGTCCGAGTGTCAGTCCGTCAGTCCGTCCGTACGTCCCGAAATCTTGTGAACGCAACTCCTCTTAAACCGGATGGCAGATTTTGCTTAAACTTACAGGGATGAACAACCTTAATGTGTAGATGGTAGTAAAGGAAGGAATTTTCGCTGCGACCAAATTTAACAGAATTATGGCCCTTTGTTGATTTTTTCACTAGATACTATGAAGAAATTTTGTGAACGCAACTCCTCTTAAACCGCATGGCAGATTTTGCTCAAACTTACAGGGATGAACAACCTTAATGTGTAGATGGTAGTAAAGGAAGGAATTTTTGCTGGGACCAAATTTAACAGAATTATGGCCCTTTGTTGATTTTTTCACTATATACTATGTAGAAATTTTGTGAACGCAACTCCTCTTAAACCGCATGGCAGATTTTGCTTAAACTTACAGGGATGAACAACCTTTAGGTGAAGATGGTAGTAAAGGAAGGAATTTTTGCTGCGACCAAACTTTACAGAATTATGGCCCTTTGTTGATTTTTTCACTATATACTATATAGAAATTTTGTGAATGCAACTCCTCTTAAACCGGATGGCAGATTTTGCTTAAACTTCCAAGGATGAACAACCTTTATGTGTAGATGGCAGTAAAGGAAGGAATTTTCGCTGCAACCAAATTTAACAGAATTATGGCCCTTTGTTGTTTTTTTCATTATATACTATCAGTGATTTTCCTACTTATATAACAGACTCCGAAAAAAGGCCTCTTCCCAATTGAAATTTTCTTTAAAATCATGCAGTTTTCCCAAAAATCTGAACTTAAACCAGCTTTTTTACTTCCCAAATCAACAATTTTAGCGATGATTTTTCCCAAAATCAAGAGGCAAAGGCCTCTTCCCAATGAAATGAGAAAAATCACTGACTATGTAGAAATTTTGTGAATGCAACTCCTCTTAAACCAGATGGCAGATTTTGCTTAAACTTCCAGGGATTAACAACCTTAATGTGTAGATATTAGTAAAGGTAGGAATTTTTGCTGCGACCAAATTTAACAGAATTATGGCCCTTTGTTGATTTTTAGTTTTCAACTTGTGGCACATGTAGTCCAAAAAATATTTGACCTAGAGTCATAAGATTGACAGAACAGTGGTGTGTGGGGGCATCCGTGTCCTATGGACACATTTCTAGTTTTTTTTCAAATTTTATATTACAATAAACTATTATCTAGGTTAATAAATTCCGAAAAATACTTCTACAAAGTTTCTGTTCATTATCAAGTATGTTTGTGATATTCAGTGACTGATTAAAGATTTCTCTTATTCAGATGCTGTGAAAAATATTATACAATATTTGGGCCTACAACCTTGTGAGAGGTCAGACAAAGTACCAGAAGGGAAGAGCTCTCATACATTGTACTTAGCGGGAGTTTTCAGGGGCGGACATGACGCCCTAGTACGAGCCAAGCTAGCTATGGCTGATTCTGGCGTGACCATGCAGTTAACTGTGCGCTCTACAGATCCTAATGTGTCTGAAGTGTTAGTTACTGCCATCGGTTAAAATTTACATTTTATGTATTATTCTTGAAAAAAAGAAAAAAAAAGGAAACATTTTTTGGATATAATGTTTTGAACAAAGTATATACTTATAAATATTCCTTATGTTTATTTCATCTTTGTCTTGAATTATAAAAAGAACACATGCATAGAAACAGTACATTGTATGGCTACTTTTATTTATTTATGATAACTTTGTTTTATCTATAGATATGTTATTGTAATTTTGTTCTGTTCAAAGTCTTGTAAACCTAAGGTTTTGTTCAATATGGGAAAATGAACTTTACATAATAATTATATTTATTTATATTGTCATCCTTCTTTATCCAAGTGTTAGCTTATCTAGGGTTGAAACATAAATTTTTCTAGTGTTGTGCATCAATTATCATTATTTCTAACTATAAATATAAAAATGTTTATATAAGATCTTGAACTATTGAAATTCTTACTGAAAATAAAAATCTTGAAATTATTCAGAGTTCTTATTTATCTTTTTAACTGCAATTACAATGGAGTTACATTTGTATTTTATGACTGTAAGAAGCAAAACACAATAAACGTTTAACAGAATTTATTCAGACTTATTTCAAACTTACATGTTACAATGGACGTTCAGCATAAAGTTTTAAATCGATACAATTTATAAAATATATATTAAAGTAATGGCAGTATTGGCCAGGTGCTGTATTTAACCCTGACTGAACCTAGACTAGTCAGCTTGAGGATGAGCAAGCATGCGCATGATGTTTGTAATTACAAATGTAATGTACATAGGATGCTATTCATACCCGACTCCGTGAAACAAGGAATTACACTACACTTAAGGGCAAAAACCTAGTTCACACTACACTTTTGAAAGGCTGTGTACTGTTTTCCAAATTTACCCACGTTACCTGCGATGGATATTGGTAATACATGCATATATTAAGACAGTTGTTGCCTTTAAAAAACACAAACCATGTGCAATGATAAACAATTTGAAAAACCGACCTAAGCCGGTTTTCGACAAAGGTTACTATCTGACCTAAAGGTACTCCATTTTTTTTTCAAAGTTACCAAAACAGCAATGTGCCCACAATTAACTTTACAATTACAAGTTACGGGCATTAATTTTATTTTGTGTTTCTTACCAAGGTAAAAGAGGCAGCCGTTTACACAAAATAGTGATGAGACTGGGGCTTTCAACTAAGTTCCAAAAATTTGGATTACTGCAAAATTCTGGGAGTTTGGAAAAGTACATTTATAGGTTTAAAGAAGGAAAATATAAGATTTTTTGGAAGTACAAGCCAAAATCAGGGAGTAAAGAATCCCAAAATCCCCAAATGGAAAGCCCTGATGAGCATGAGTTGTCTCCTATATTAAGTAACGAGTCACCAATCCCACATAGAAAGCAACTGTTATGAAATTTTAAACAAAGAAAATTATGGGCATGCTCGCCCTTCCCGCGACTAATTTATTTTTTTACTTCCCACAATAAATTTGGCTTGAAAAAATTTAAAACTGCAATTCAATAGAAGATATTTTTAAAAACTGTATTTCTTTTAATCTTAGTATTGATTTTTATTACAGGTTTTGATATAAGTCTGTTAGGTCTGTATTTATTTCTTAAAAAACTTTAGTATTACAATTTATGTACATTATATTTTTGAAGAATAAAAACTCGGTTTGAAACAAAATCTTAAAAGGAATTCCTCTCTTAAAAAGTTCTAAATTTACTACTGATTTATTGGATATTCTGAATTGGAAATTAAACTGTCCTTCTGAAATTAAATACATGGTTGAGAAATTGCAGACAAGAACAAGACTACTACAGCCTTCCATGTTTGCTAAATTAGGATGCATTTCTTATTGTTTTATCCTCGGAAATCACTTACCTAATATATAATATGTGCAATATCACAAGAGTAAAAAAAAATTTTTATGTGTCACTAGAGATATAGATCTGTGCCACTTTGAATATGTCACTTAACAAATTCAACAGTTTCAACATTTTCACATCACACTGATCACACTGATTTCACTTTTATGATTAATGCAATTTTGAAGGTAAATGTAAGATCTTTTATACATGACTTGAAATTTAAGAAAATACAGAATTTCATATTACATTGTACATCTGTTTTTCAAATGCATCAATATTGATATGTTTATTTGCCAGTACAAGTTGGAAACATTCTAGGCTGATTAAGATTAAAACAGATTGACAGAATGTGGAACTCCCCAAAACATATTCTACCCATATGAACAGTGCAGAAAAGATTCAGGCCGGCAACATTTTAAACTCGGGTCTGATCAATCGTTTTCGCACTTTGTTTCGTTATTCAGTCAGTAATATTTTTGAAATTTTATCTCCAAAATAGTAAATTATTTTGTTCCCGACTGGAAGATGGTAAGAAATCCATTTAAAGATTAATTTTTGCAGAGAGAGTAAGAATGAAAAACCTTTTGATTAACCTCCAAGTGAAGTTATTTTGTGTTGGTTGTATGTTATTTTGTGTGCTTTTAGAATTAATTGCTGGCAAGTGGCCCCCAAAACTTGTGTTCTGAGGGAAAAAACCCAAGTTTTACCTTTTTTTTTGATTTGGACAAAAGTTTTCATAATATTGCTCACTAGTAGATCTGTCCCCCTTAGGGACAAATGATTCTTTAAAATCCCAAATTAGATCCAAAAATGGGGAAAAATTGATAATTTTTAAGTCTCAAAAAGGTTTAAAGCACCAATTTTTTGGGGATTTTTGGGACATTAGTGCCTTAAATTTGTTCTTTTACATGGATTTTTTCCCTGTTACAATGTTTTTTGGTCGGGTAATAGCCCTGCAAATTTCTAGTAGGTGTAAGGGTTTTATAAAATTTTGAAAGTAAAGCCCCTCAAGGGTTCTTGTCGGACCAAAAAGGCCTTTTGACTTCAGAAATTTTATATTTGTTTATCTTTTTTTGGTTTAAAACTTACATTATTTATTTTTGGGCTGCCCCTAGGTATCACTTGTTTTCACTTACTGTATATAAAGTATTTAACACCGCATATAACTGCACTGACAAAGATTGTTACATGTGTTAAAGGTGCAACAACAGTATAACAGAGATTCTTATACAAAATATATATTTAATAGTATTTATTGCACATAAAAGATATTTATAAACTGAAATTGAAGCAATTAAAACAATACACTTTTAATATTTGATTTTTACATGTCTCTTTTTGCTGTTGGAATCAGTATGCCACTCATTTTACATAATTATCACTGTCAGATGTAATTTTATTTAATTTATTATTCAAAATGTCAATCAAAATCTCCATTATATGCAACGTTGATGAACATATTTTCCGTCATTGATGAACATACTTTCCGCAACAATAAATCTATATCAAAGCCCATCAGTTTTTAGTTTGAACCAACTAAAGTCTACGTTACAGCTACTATGCATCTTGTATTGTCTCAGCTACTTGTATAACTACATGATTAATTAGGTGATTTGTATATCCCCATGGTAATGTTGTTTTCCTTTTTTATCAAAATACTCCTGAAAAATAAATTGATAACATTCACAATCTGATTTTTTGTTTTAATTTGCATATCATATTTCCTAAGCTACAGCTTTACACTCTATTACAGTCTATGCATTATAAACATAAAAGTACATGTACAAAAAAAAAAAAAACATTTTATTGGTTTATAAGAAAATACACATGTAGTGGAAATTTTCATGGACTATAGGAAGTTGTATAGATTTAATGATAATGGAGTCGCAATGAACTATTGATTTATGCTTATCAAAATCTTAAAACTACCTAAAAAGTTTGGTGAAAATTTTCACAAAAACAATTACCCTCCCTCTCCCTCTATACATATTACAGGATTTGGCATGTTAGGGTTAAGTCTGGCAGCATGTTCAGCAATGTTGGCTATATGACCAGCTGATTCTCTAGTAGCTACTCCTTTAACTGAAAATATATCATAGAAGTTCTTTAACAACATATGTCATTCTTCAAGTAATTACAACAAATTATCACAAATTTATTTACAAGTGACAGCATAGCCAAGTGGATAACATGTCAAACTAGTAATCTAAGGACTGCTAACCAAGTGGGTTCAAACCCCCACCAGGAGCAAGCTGCTGTTTCCTTAAGCAACAAGCTTATACATTCATTGGTAAGTACTGGTATGTTCCAGCAGAAACATTCACATATACATTATAACATACCGTATTGTTTCTAATTATAGCCCCCCTTCTAATTAGCGCCCCGGGGTGAAAAATGAAAAAAAAAATTCTTACCTGACTTGAAAAATTTTAATATCCCCGAAGTGTATTTAAAAAAAATAAAAAGAAAAAAAAAACTAACTGTTGTAATTCCAAAGTAAACATTCAACTTCCAGTTTGAATGCATTCGCTGTACGTTTTCTTAGAAGTGCAACCTTCCATTGTGTATTGATTAAATCATTAAATCAAGTTTTTTTTCAACAACAGGTAAAACTGATGTGTGTTACTTCATAATTTTTCCCGCCAGAGCAGGAAAAATCAATTACTTTGACAAGTTTATCTCGGTCAGTGGGACTACCGTATTGTCTACAATAATTTTGTGTGCTGCTTATTTTATCGTACGTGAACAAGGGATTTATAGGACGAAAATAGTTGGGAAGATTTTTTAGATATTTTTAAAACATAAAATTGATTTTCATTTTTATGCAAATGTGCTTCTAATTAACGCCCCCCATTTTCCGTTTTTTTGCAACGCCCCGGGGGGCGATAAATGGAAACAATTACGGTTACCTTTATTCCGGGAACAATTTAGAGTGTGTATCTAGAAGCTTAAAAGCTCCCTACCTAATTAAACTAAAATAAATTCTGAAAAAACTAAACTATATGCATGCATTTTTTATTTTTTATATCCCCGCACAACGAAATTGTAAGGGGGGTATGCTGGAATCAGCTTGTTCGTCCGTCAGTTTTTCCTTGTCCGCCCAATAACTTAAATTTCTTTGACCCACAGTCTTCATATTTGGTATTTCGATTGGTCATGATTAGTAGATGATTCCTATTGATTTTAAGGTCACCAGGTCAAAGGTCAGGGGCCTTGACTAAAAAAAGCTTGTTCGCCCAATAACTTAGATTCTTTTGTGACCCCATTAATGGAGAGGTTGTTTAAGGGACTAACTAGATGACCCCTAAATTGATTTTGAGAGTTACTGGGTCAAAGGTCAAGTTCACAGAGGCCTTTTTACATAAAATAAGGCTTATCTGCCCCCAATTTAACATAAATTTTCATTTGACCACAGTCTTCAATTTTTTGGCATGGAGGTTAAGTAAAGATAAGTAGGAATGACCCCTTATTGATTTTTGAGGTCACTGGAGTCAAAGGTCAAGGTCACAGGGAGACCTTGACTTAAAAAAAGTTTGTCCGCCAAAATAACTTAAGAAACCTTTTGACCCACCAGTCTTCAAATTTGGCATGGAGGTTGGATCATGGGACCTTAGGTGACCCCTATTGATTATGAAGTCACTGGCGTCAAAGGTCAAGGTTCACAGGGGCCTTGACTAAAAAAAAACCGGTTGTGTCAGCAACAACTGCTTAAGGGGAATGCTTATGGTCAACAGTCTTTCATATTTTGGTATTGAGGTTGTTTATGGCTAGTAGATGACCCCAATTGATTTTTAGGTGACTGTGTCAAAGGTCAAGGTCACAGGAATTTTTTACTTTAATAAGCTTGTCTGCTTCAAATGCTTAAGAATGCCTGTCCGGAGAGAGGACATTGTTGTGACATTTTTCCGACATTTGAAGCTGTTAGAATACTAAATTATCAATACCTGGCTTATTAGTTTAAACCTTCAGATTTGGCAGGGAAGGTTTTTTTCCTGAGCTCTATAAATGGGGCCACTGTTATTTCTGACAAAGTGGTCTAAATGCGGTTTGGTTTTTTCACCAACCAAAGGGGAGTGGCACTTCTAGTTTTTTTATAATGATATTTTTTTAAACAGCAATTTCTATTTGAAAATTTTGCCTTTTCATTATAAAAAATAAGGTATTGGCTCATGGCACTTATTTACAATTTAAAGTACAAATAATTGAATGAATTTTTACCCAGATTGAAAAACGGACTTAGGTTCCTAATTTCATTATAATTAGATTGTTTACGGTTAAGGCATTGTAAAGGGTTCACCTCCTTTCCAGCAGCTTGCTTTCTAAATTATCAATGAAGTATATATCTAAAAGTCTGATTATTTCATTTTTAAATTTCTTACCTCCTAGACAAAGCCCATTGTTCCATCTGTACAAATTTACATACCGAAACGCCAGGTTTTTTCTTTGGGGGGGATCTGAAATAACAATAATATATTTCAGTATAATTATCTTCCTTCATAGCTATTAATATATCAGTTGCACAGATGAAAATTAAGTTGTTATTTTACTGCAATGAGGACATTTTTTTTAAAGTTCACACTTAACAGTAATTGCATAATACAGACTGGGTCTTTTAAATTTGAAACACTCTGATTAAGACTGTATGTTTACAAATTTTTGATAAGGTTTACATTTTTGCTTAAAATTGAAACAATACTATTTAAACAGTGATACTTGTACTTGCTTTACAATACCCTATATTCAAGTTGCCAATATGATTAATTACTATCTTTTTTCAATACATTTTGTACAATGTTGAATACTGTACAGGTCTGACAAATTTTCTGCTGTGTATCTCCAATTCGCTCTTTCGAAAAATAAAAAAAAAAGTCAATGTCGTTAAAAAAGATATTAAGCAACTATTGCACAATGGAGAGTTGTATCTGCCCATATGTGGGGGTGCTGGCTGTCATAAGCCCATCAGAGCGTCGCTTATATAGAAGCATGAATCAACAGTTTGACAACACTATTGGTCTGAGACATGCATGTGTGGACAATTTTACTTAACAAGGGTTATGCATAGTTGGTGGATAAAGTCAATATGATATTCTTTAATTAATCAATATCTGGCAAGTCAGAATAATGTATGCACATCTACATTTGGCACTGAGGGATATTTATTAGAAATTCAACACCTACAGCATTTTGTTTCCAAGAACTCTACTAAGCTATTATAAGTATTTATTTTTAAAGATAAATCTTCTTCCAGCTCCTCTACTTGGAATTCTGTTAATAACCATATTAATATCTTGTGTTTCCCTTTAAGGAATTTTGGTAAGCTTAACTTGATTATGTCGATGTTTGAATCACAGACACTTGGGGGGTCTGACTCTGTCCTTGGGGTTGATTTGCACCTGAAACTTTTAACATTTAAACACTAATAAGGCTGCCTGCATCTGTCTTTATCATTACAGTTCGCCAAAGTTTCTCTGCCAATGAAATCGCTCTATTTTGTTTAAATTTTGCCGAAATATTTACCATACAGTGCTGTAACTCAACTGTATGTATTAAATTTATATGTTAAATATGTCTATTTAATGGAATCCCCCTATTGACATAATGCACTCGATTTTAATGGGCGGGGCTAACTGTAAGTCGGTTATAGTTTATATACAGAGTTTTAAGAAACTAATTTTCTCGCTTCACTTCGTTCCCTCGAAAATTAATTTCTTAAAACTTTGTATATAACTTATAACCTATACTTAAACTTGTTTTTAAACCATTTCCACAAGAATAAAAAAAATCAAAAATACTATCAAGTTACAAAAAGCAAAGAATGCAGTTTATCAAGTTCCCTTTCAGATGCACTAAGAATCAACAATTATAAATCACATTTTAATACCAAAAAAAAATTAATTTCGAAAGTAAACTTAGTGTCAGGTCCAAGGAATAAGAAGAGTTCCTGGCTTCGTGCTTAACACAGTATACACGCAAATTATAGAGTGAATCCTGGCTCAGAAAGAGAAACAGCAGCACAAACATTAAGCCGAGAACTCTTTGCCTATTTGTTGGACCAGGAATTTGTGTTTACATTTTCACAGTATATAAACCAAATCACTGTATCCTGTCTTGCGAGCCTATACAATTCAATATGTACCCTATCTTGCGAGTACAAGCACATGTACTTCCAATCACTGTACCCTTCTTGGGAGCCTATATAACTTAACTTGTATTTTTCTTGCGAGTACAGGAAGTAATCTGGTTTATATACTTTGATTTTGGAGTCTGCTATCTCTATCTTGACTAGAGTGGTTGGACCAATGCTCGGCGCATACCAATGCTCGGCGTAAAAAATATTAATTTTTTTAGAATATCTGAAAATGCCTCGAGTTATCTCCGATTTAGGTCACTGGTGCTTTTATTTATATCTTTCACCATTTTATCCTGGTGTGGTTCACTGCTGGTAAAGTCACGTGACAATGCTAATAGCAGACGAACAACTGTATGTAATCTGCAACATATAAATTATTAAAATCTTTTAACACTTGAGTTCTGGGGCTGTAAAATTTAAACTAAATGTTGGGTACTTGTAAATGTATGAACCTAATTTGGTTGTTACAATTTATTCAATATGTTTTCTTCATAAGATAAAAAAGAGATTTTATTCGAAAAACAATCCTGCATCATGTAGTATTGTACGCCGAGCTATGGTACAATTTCACGCAAACCACTCTGGTTTATCCAGACTATCTATAGCTCCAGCCATGCACATCATTATGTGATTAGCGAATTTTACACAATGGCTATTTAAAACAATATCATCGGTCTTGAAAATGGACATATAACATTGAGGTTTGTGGACGTTGATTTGAATTTGACATATCAAATATAGTATTTTTACGTCGAGCGTTGGTCCACCCACTCTAGTAGTAGTGACATTAAAAATTGGCATTTGGTTTTATTAGAGTGGCAATGTTTTTTAAAACAAATTTAATTATGATGCTCCATTTGTGTCTAAATGTAAAAAACTTTTAACTGACAGTTTACAGTTGCGGTTCAAGCCGGGGGACAGGGTATGACTCTGACTTAACTGGCCCAAGTCAGCAAGTGTCTACATGGTTTGAGTCAAAAAATCATGTGATTTCATTTTCAACCAAATTCACAGTTTAATTTAAGAGAAAATCTATCATTGTGGCAATTTTAATTTATGAATGTTAATCATAAACATTTTTTTAATGTGTATGTACATATACACAGTCTTACGTGTCATCAAGATGTTTATCTAAAGTTCTTTCCATCTTTCCTTCTTCTTCCTATCTCAATGTTTTAATGTATCACAGCAAAATTATTTTTACGCAGTCACCGTTTTTGGAACTTCCGGTCAAAACAAATCTCACGTGTACAAGAAAAATGGTTAAATTAAGTGAGTTATCAACTTCGATGAAATATAAAATCATAAAAATTTAAAGTTTATAATATACTTAAACATAAAAAGAACTCGTAATGAGAGAAAATTGCACAGCATTGTAGGTTATGTAAATGTCATTAGAATTCGCGACTTCTGGTCTCTAGCAATCTTGTTATTTATGAATAAGATAGCACTCCACAGTTAATTTCAAGTTCCTGCCGTCAATGTCCTACAAGCAATACGTCTAATAACTCTGATACCAAACTACACAACCTTGAAAAAGAAAACACATTTTGTTGAGAACATATGTTGAGATTGCAAATCTACAAAGAAATTATCCCATCTGGCATGATCTGCAATAGGCAGGCAGTCAAAAAAGTTGCAATTCATTCCGTTGAAGCCCAAAATCTACAGTTGCCCGAGGCCCAAATCAACACATTTTGTCCCTCTGGCAAAAAATATCTGCAAATATACAGGTTAAAGGAACATCGTCTCTGCTTTAGCAACTCCCTATAATGCAAAATCTCACAAAGAAACTGCTGCTCAACCTTGTAGATTTTTTGCTACTGCTAAAAGTTTGTACCCCCCTGTAAAATGACTCGTTTTTACCAAAAGCAATGTTTTCAAAAAATGGCAGCCTTGACATCTATAATCAACAACATGTGATTTCTCATTTTTTCTGGCCATGTTTTGGAATTTGCCAGTGATCATAATATGAAATTAGGGAAAGCCTATGAACAGGGAAGTCGTTAAACAATTTATTTTCATTCTTTCCGTTTTAATGGTGTCATTCGGTATTTAAAGCATCGCTTCCGTTTTCACTTGGAACACTTGGGGATTATTATTAATCCGAAAAGTTGAGATTTGTTCTGTTATCGGAATACCCCGCCTATTATAATTGAGTTACATTGTAAATAGCGGCGCCCGACTATAACTGACACTGAAAATTTCATTGATAGGTATAGAATTTTATATACTTTTTAATTGTTTTTTTTATTTGATTTTCTTTTAAATATACACGTGTAGTCAATAGCCAGGCAAGCCAAAGCCCGGACCCGCTTCGCGGGCCCGGTCTTTGACTTCCCTGTATTAGATGTCACTAAAACAAATTTCATGCTGAAAATACACTTTAAAGACAACCAGTCATTTGAATCCAGAATATGCTCTATATCCAAGAAATCCTCCCTGGCCATTCGAAGCTGTGGCTTACATTACTGTTGTGTGCTACCTAATGTATTCAGATCATAAATCATTTGTTTTTGAATGAGCAGGGCCCTCAATCCAATTTGGGGGAAGTGGGTCGCTACCCTCAGCATGGGGAATTTTAGTGTATGGGGGGAATTTTTCTCTTTTCTTTTATTATCAAATACACTTATTTAAATATCAGCTGTTTTTATTTACATGCATATTATTTTTTAAAAAAAATCCATAATAGGTAACACTAAACTGTTCAGAAGTGATTGATAAGATTTGAAGAAAAGTTTTTAACACCTTACACCATCAGATCTTTATGCTGCTTAGCTTTCTTCATGATCCCCCCCCCACCCCAATCATTTTTTAGAAACACATTCAGACAAATGTCTCCATTTCCACTAATATGAACAATACATGGACCTAAAGTAAATTCTATTCATAAACTACATTTCTAGTGTTCTAACACATCTTTTAATAAGACAAAGCTTCCTTTTCTTGACTTTGTAAAACATTCGTAAAAATCGGCATCGCGAAAATATGTGACAAATGAAAATTTGTTTGTTTTCTGTTTACACATCAACAATTCTAGTTGTTTCTGATGTAAATTATATAAAATTAAATTGATTGTTTATTATAATATTGTTTTTCATCAGTTATTTTATAAAGTATCATGAAAACAAAACTTACAAGTTTGTAATTCACGGCAAAATTTACCTTGGTTGATGTAACATTTTGAAGACAAAAAAAATGATTTCATGAATAAACAATTTGAAATCAAATTGTTGATGGGAATTGTGATTTTTTTCTGCATATTTCTGTTGAAATTTTAGCATTTTTACAGGATGAAAGGCCAATATGTGACGGTAGATTTTTGGGGAAAAAACAAACGGAAACGTGCAGACATGTACTGTACGATATCTCGCTTACAAAATAGACGTCAAATAGATAGATTTTAATTTTCAAAAACAACATTAGTTTTAATTTTTCTCTTTAACACTCTATATGTTTTGAGGGGGAATTTTTACCTCTGTTAGGGGGAAAAAAACATACTATTTTGGTGGGGGACTGCGGCCGAATATCGGCCGCAGATTTGGTTGATCGAGGGCCCTGATGAGGTGAACATAAATTATGAAATCGTATACTGAAAGTAGACAAAGTCGTAAATGAGATAAGTAAACATATCTGCTTTAGTGCTTAAAATAAACCTTGGAAAATGTAGAGGGATTTGTTAATAGTTTAAGCAATCTGGCAGGACTAGTGCTGACAAGCCAATGACATTTAAGTCGACAAAAGTAAATTTCCAGACTGTTGACGAAGTAGGTCGCAAGAGCTATTAAAAAGTGAAATGTTTAAAATTCTGATCTTCAGAGACTACAGTTGGCTCTTTGCCTAGATATTTGACTAGGATGACTAGCCATATGCCATTGGGTAACAATTATATAGTTAATATAGACATATCTGGTAAGATAGATGCAAGTGATTAGAGCTACGGGACAAACAATGTTTGTAGTCAAAATACTAAACAGGTGTTTTTTGTTTTTGTTTAAGAAATAAATCTAGAAAAGATCTTTTTGTTGTTTACAATACAGTCATTCATATTTATATTCATATATAATCATATTGTACTTCTTCTGTGAGCAAAGTCAGCAATTTCAAAAAATTGTCTAAAAGTGGACCCCTCAAATTTTGTGGTGGACCCCTGTTTTTAAAGATCCTGCATCCAAGGACCCCTAATATAAAAAGGGCTGGTAAATCCCCGCTTTATGTACAAACTACATCGGCCTTGTAGAAGTTAGATATTTGGCATTGCTTATTGAACTTGTATATAGTTATATCATTTTGAATCATGACCATTTGGTAAAAAATGGTCACATCCCAATTTTACATATGTATGACTTATTTCTGCTTTGAAAAGTCATGATCATTGCTATAACTGTATCTTTATTTTTGTTTAATTAAATATTTGTAAATACAATTAAGAATAAAGTTTCATGTTTATAATTTCCAGATAAGAAAAGTAAGAGGCAAACCACAAGACTTAGGGCTAAAATTGAGAAAAAGGTACTGTTTTGTATTTTTGATCAAATTAGGATAGAAATTTATAAACAATATGATGATGTTATGTTATACTATAACTTCATTAAATGTTGAGTTATAATGATTGATATATTTTATTTATTTTGCTTTTGTTAACTTATCAGACTTTTAAATGCTATAAAATTAAATGGTCCTTTGTCTCTCACAAAATGTGTGGTTAGAGGTTAGTCACTTGTGGAGAAGTTGGCAATAAGTATCTTATCAGGGAAATCTGTTTATGCCGACCAGTTGCCAAGATACAACAAAAATGTACTAAAAATTGGAATGAAAAACCAGGCAGTCTTTAAATTGACAAATGTACTTTGGTATGTTTCTAATCACAATAAAACCAGTATTTTGTTAATTACTGACTGCTCAATGTACATGTAGCTCTACACCACAGAGAAATAAAGTTTGTTAACTTTTACATTCTTCAGGTGAGGGAGCATAAGAGAAAACAGAAAAGAGATTCAAAGAAGCACCCTACCAGTAAGTTATAATTTGATATGAGCCGCGTCAAGACAAAACCAACATAGTGCATAGGATCCATGCTGTTTGCTTTCCAATCCTATTACAAGTAGAGAAACTGATAGCCAACAGCATGGATCCTGATCAGACTTTTCGGATGTGCATGCTGGTCTGGATCCATGCTGGTCACAAACGCACTTATATGGTGACGCAGCTCATATAAAATTTAGTTTGGATCACTTTTTTGTCTGTCAATCGTTTATTTCAAAATTAGTTCTTTATTATACCCCTGCACAACAAAGTTGTAAGGGGGTATACTGGAATCAGCTTGTCCGTCCGGCTGTCCGTCGGTTTTTTCTTGTCCGCCCAATAACTTAAGATTCCTTTGACCCTTAGTCTTCATATTTGGCATGGAGGTTAGTCATGATTAGTAGATGACCCCTATTGATTTTGAGGTCACTAGGTCAAAGGTCACAGGGGCCTTGACTTCAAAAAGCTTTTCCGCCCAATAACTTAAGATTCCTGTGACCTACAGTCTTCATATTTGGCATGGAGGTTAGTCATAATTAGTAGATGACCCCTAATGATTTTGAGGTCACCAGGTTAAAGGTCAAGGTCACAGGGGCCTTGACTTCAAAAAGCTGTCCGCCCAATAACTTAAGATTCCTTTGACCTTTAGTCTTCATATTTGGCATGGAGGTTAGTCATGATTAGTAGATGACCCCTATTGATTTTGAGGTCACCAGGTCAAAGTCACAGGGGCCATGACTTCTAAAAGCTTGTCCGCCCAATAACTTAAGATTCCTTTGACCCACAGTCTTCATATTTGGCATGGAGGTTAGTCATGATTAGTAGATGACCCCTATTGACTTTGAGGTCACCAGGTCACAGGGGCCTTGACTTCAAAAAGCTTTTCCGTCCTATAACTTAAGATTCCTTTGACCCACAGTCTTCATATTTGGCATGGAGGTTAGTCATGATTAGTAGATGACCCCTATTGATTTTGAGGTCACCAGGTCAAAGGTCAAGGTCACAGGGGCCTTGACTTCAAAAAGCTTGTTCGCCCAATAACTTAAGATTCCTTTGACCCACAGTCTTCATATTTGGAATGGAGGTTAGTCATGATTAGTAGATGACCCCTATTAATTTTGAGGTCACCAGGTCAAAGGTCACAGGGACTTTGACTTCAAAAAGTTTGTCTGCCCAATAACTTTAGATTCCTTTGACCGACAGTCTTCATATTTGGCATGGATGTTGATCATGATTAGTAGATGACCCCTTTTGATTTTGAGGTCACTGGATCAAAGGTCAAGGTCATAGGGACTTTGACTTCAAAAAGTTTGTTCACCCATTAACTTAAGATTCCTTTGACCCGCAGTCTTCATATTTGGCATGGATGTTGATCATGACTATAAGGTGACCCCTATTGATTTTGAGGTCACTGGGTCAAAGGTCAAGGTCACAGGGACCTTGACAAAAAAAAGCTTTTCTTCTTAATAGCTAAAGAATGTCCTGTCCGCAATGTATTGATTTTGACATTTTCATTTGAAGAATGTAGAATACATAACTTAGCAATGCACTGGCTTAGTAACCTCAGATTTGGCAGGGAGGTTGTCCTTGAGCTCTAAATGGCCACTGTTGATTCTGACAAAGTGGTATGCGGGGGTATTCACGCCATGATAGTGGCAGTTCTAGTTGTAGTTGCGATTGAAACAGCATTGTATGAATGTAGCTGTGGGGTTTTTCATTGTTCAGTACAGTTTATGACAGTTATAATGCAAGTTTATGTCTCAACAGAGAGCTGATAATAACAAAAGATTTAAACAGAGGCCTCTATTTCATAAATTAAATATAAACATGGTTGCATAAAGATGTAATTTTTGAGTGGTTGACAGTCATACATATGTATCTTTCTTTTCAACATATTGATTATTGTTTATACTTTTCACAGAGAAAAGGAAAGATCCTGGAGTGCCAAACAGCTTACCATTCAAGGAAAATATCTTGAAGGAAGCTGAGGATAGGAAAAGACAAGTAAGTTGATGTCTTGTCTTTGAAATAAAGTGCAGAATATTTTAGGATGTGAAAAGGTATACAGGCCTTTTTAAGATATTTTGGGGAAAAGCCCCTGGCATTAATTGGGAAAAAATATTTTACATTTTTTTTGGAAATTTGAGTTATTTCAAGAAGCATGGAAACTAATACATGTCTTTATTGATATAACCTGTCACTTCATTTAAGAAATATGTTAAAACAGATCAGTTTGTCTCGGGAGTTGAAAAAGTTTTTTTGCGCTGCTGAATTTTGACAAGATCTGTATCAGAATGAACTTAGTCTTCAAGGTCAAGTTATTAAAATTTCTATTTTAAGGATTCAAGGGGCATAGTATATTATTTGAACACATTTTGTTTATTGCTATAGCTGGAAGAGGAAAGACAGAAGCAGAAAGAAAGAAGGAAGAAAGAGAAACAGAAAATGCTGGACAAGAAGAGAGGACTGGATGGTATGGTTAAAGATGCTCTGAAAAGAGCTAATGACTTTGAGAAAAAGGTAACCTTTCTATCAATTTGCAGTATACTTCTAGATTTAAGTCAGTTTTTATGTGGTTAAACATTTTAAAGTTTACGATAGTTCTTTATATTGTTTGCAAGTGTTAAGCAATTTTTTGGATAAATTTATACAGTCTTTAGTAATGTGTCTAGTTGAGTTGGTTTGTTTTCTGTATTTGTCATATTTGAATGAATTTTCATTTCTTCTGACTTATCTGATGTTTCATTTTGAAACTAAATATTCAAATATGTTGTCTGCATATTTGCAAGCAGTTAATTGTTTTTTTTGTTTGAATTTAAGATGTAACAATATTAAACATCATACTTGCAGCAAAACTCAAAGGGGCCATCTGACCAGATGAAGTCAAAGAAAGTGGAATCATCATTAAAGACGTTCTATAAAGAATTCAGAAAGGTAGAAAACCATTTTTTTTTTGTGTAGACATTTTGTGCTTAGATAAAGCTACAGACATGGCTATGGTAGCATCTTTATCATATGGTAGCATCACTTATAAACATTTACACGTACTTGATGCTTAGGATTGTGTCAAATGAATGGTTTTACAAGTATTTAAAATGATGTTTACTAGACATATGAATTTTATGAAAAATATGTTGTTTTTTTTTAATTTAAAAAACATGAGAGATTGTGATGGTGGAATATAATAGACATGATAATAATAGAAATAAATGAATAATCTACATATTGTCACCTTAGTGCAGTAACATGTTATGTCCTTTTAAATTTAATAGGAGATAACCATTTGTTACACTAAAGTGACAATATATGAATGATTACTTTTTTAATGAGCACAAATTCAAGTTGCAAACTTCATTCAAAGAAGTTAAATGATGTGTTTTCCACAAATTCAGTGCATATAAATATCATCTTTTATGTCATATTTCAAGAATATGAAAAAATGTGTTTTCCAGAAATTCTATGCATATAAATGTCATCTTTTTATCTTAACTAGGTTGTTGATGCTGCAGACGTTGTGTTAGAAGTTCTTGATGCTAGAGATCCACTTGGTTCCCGGTGTCAACAGATGGAAGAGGCTGTCATTGGAGCAGGAACCAACAAACGCTTGGTCCTCATTCTCAATAAAATAGGTAAATAGTCCATCAATCAAGAGTTAAAAAGATTATTTTGTGTCACCTATACAGAGTAGTGGTTTTCCGGTTGAATGATTTGTGGCTGAGTTATAGCCCTTGAATAAAAAAACTCACTTTTTGCTGGGTTAATGATTTTTGTGTCTCCTGCTACACAGTAGCTGCAACATGCAATTTGTTATCATGATGCGACATATGTTATTACTGATCTTGTTTAGACTTTGTATCAAAGAGTTGTTGTATACCAAAAAAAATTGTAATTGTAAAAGACTGAGAAAACTGTCAGCAACCAAGACCAACAGGCATGTTTTGTCTGATCATTGTCTGCACTGGTTGCTATTCAGTCAGTATATAATTTAAAATTTTACCTAAAAATAATATACTTGTAGGAAGAAATTTTGTTAGCTGGTTTATATCACTGCAGAATATATATAAGGCCATCCTTAAAAAAATGTTTGTTTGCAGTAACAAGACCGACTCACAAAATTTGCCCCTACTCAAATTTTTTTTTCATGGTCTGGATAAAAAAATACTTTTTTTGAATCAGAAAGTTATGCCTTGTGCTTTGTTTTCGTTCTTTTAAAGGTTGATAGTAGAAATAAAATGTAGTTCTTATTAAATTAGAATTCAGTTATCAATTTATTAATTGTTACCAGATTATCAAAGCATATATTGTCCTGCATTTTGAAATTCAATGTTTTTTGGGAGTACAGTTCAATAAAAAAAAAAAAATCGACCTACCTACCCACCTTGAAAATTCTGGGTCGGGTTACTGCAAACAAACATATTTTTAAGGATGGCCTAATTTGTCTTATTGTAAAACACACTCACTCTTCAAAGTGGATGTTCATTTAAGTTACTTTAAATAAGCCTATACTTTATGTAGTATAATTTGTTACTTTCATGGTTTTTAAATTTGCCTACAGCTAAGATGGTAAGAGATGCATAATTTTACATTTTAATACCATAAACAATACTGACTGGGAAATGCTTTCTTATGCCATTATGATAAACTTATTATTAGGAGTTCATTAAATTACTATAATTCTTAATAACTTATTAAGATCATTTACTGTTTCAGATTTAGTACCAAAAGAGAATGTTGAAGCATGGTTGAAATATTTAAAGAACCAGTACCCAGTGATTGCTTTTAAAGCGTCCACTCAAACACAGAATGAAAATCTAGTAAGTTCTTGCTTTTGGCTGTTTGAGCGTTTTTTTAATGGTGAATGCGGTTTAATAGTCTGTTTTAATTTTGAATTACCGAAATTAAGTGTATGATAATTGTGTTGATAATGCTGATAATGATAATATTTGTTATACTTTATATGTTTGTTGAGTAAGCAAGCCTTTCTTGCAAGTAAGAGACTAAAAATAGTGTGAAGAGGGGCACCCTCGAGTGTTAATTTGTATTTAATGAAATCGAACATTTACAATGTACTTTATGACCTCTATAGTATATGTTGTACTCAACACAACACAGCATTTTATTAGTAAATTTCATATAATGATTGCTTCTTCCAGTCAAAGGCTAAAGCTGTTCTAATGTTCCATTAAGTTCCATGTGTAACGTTAAAGTTAAATAGTTTTAATTTCATTATTTATTGTATTATTTCATCGAAGGTCATCTAAAGTCTGTTTTTAGTGAAAATGATTATAAACGATTGTCTTTTTTAAACTTTTTATATCATTTATTTAGGGTCGGAAAAAATTAGAATTTCAAAAAGCCAATGAGGATTTGATAAAGACAAGCAGTTGTTTGGGTGCCGATACGTTGATGAAACTTCTAGGAAACTACTGTAGGAGTAAAGATATTAAAACTGTGATAAGGGTTGGAGTTGTTGGTAAGTCTGTACATGTTATCAATGATTGTCGCTCTTTCCTTGTGTTTTTAATGTAGCAAATATATAAAGGAAATAGATTTTGATTCATTACACTGCTGAAAAAAAAATCCTGGCGTAAAATAAATGTAAAAATTAGGTCATAGCAATGGGATAATTTTAATGAAAATCACTTCATTGTCTTTTTAATTTATATTACACAACAGAAATAAAGTAATCAAATTCTTAACTACTTATTAACAAATCGGGGCATTTTTGTTTTTTCTCATTATTTTGGAAAGTGAACGGACAAAGTGGTTACTTAACAAAATGAAAAAAATCGTTACTTAAAAAAAGAAGAAATTGTTACATAAAAAATGAAAACAATCCTTACTTAGAAAAACTCTTGAAAATCATTATAAAAGTTAATTTTGTTGCAGGTTTACCAAATACAGGAAAGAGTAGTATTATCAACAGTTTGAAGAGAGGAAAAGCATGTAGTGTAGGGGCTACACCTGGAATAACAAAGTAAGTTACTATTAGCTTAACTATATATTTAATTGTGGCATTGTTTGGTTGATACTGATGAAGTAACATAGAAATTCTTACTGAGAATAATCTTGATAAGTATAAGATGCTTTTAAAAAATTAATCGGCAACCATATCTACTAAAAATATCATGCTTTGTAAATATTTATTCTGTACTTAATTTTATATCATTATTTTAGCAAGGATGGAAGACTAGACCATGTTTGAATATTCATCCATTTTCTTGAATATATGAGTGTTATTCTGCTAATTGAAAATTTCGAGCTTGTACTGAATGATAAATCCAGGCAGAAATTTAGCTGTTAAGAAATGCATGTAGTAGACTCTTAAATGTGCTTTGAAAGTGATTAACATGATTTTGTTATTACAAGTCCCTTTGATAACAACTGTTAAACTTAGGTTTGAAAGATTAGCTTTGCAGTCACTTGATATAAGAAGTCTAATTTATTCTTTTATAGACAAATGCAGGAAGTCCAGTTGGACAAACATATACGACTTCTAGATAGTCCTGGGGTTGTTATGGCAACAGACAAGTCTGACACATCTGTTATTCTCAGAAATTGTGTCCAGGTAAATAGATGATAATTACATTATGAAATTTGTGATAAGATAATTGCTGTCTTTCTCAGAAGTAGAGACAAGGTAAAACATTATGCTGATGAAACCTGTGTCAAAACATTTAAAGATGTATTTTTATTTCCGTACATTGCTTACATACCGTTTATTCATATCATATTAATGCAGGAGAGATGTCTGTGGCCAAGTGAATGACATTTAATTCACACCACTGTGAGTTTTATTCGTTCCATGAACTTCGGATTCTACATATGTGGAATCTATCAAAGCTAGCTTATGGAACATCTATTGTTTTACTTGCTCTGGTCTGAAATAATGCACAGAGGTGCACCTCCACCAGTAAGGGTGCAAAGTTGCCATATGACCTTTACTGTGTTGTTGCAATGTAAAAAAAAAAACAACCATAGAAATGCAGGAATAGATGAGAATGAAAACAAGCTTTGAACAATGTTTTGAACTTCTAATTAACAGCCAAAAAAAAATGCATCAGAAAATCAGCCAAATGAAAAGTTCTTTTTTTTTGCTTTAAATGTAAGATAAAGGTAGACTTATGATATGGGAATGGAATAAATAAGCCTATACTGTATACTAACTATAGATATAAGGAAAAATCAGTTGCATGTTATTTTAAAATTATATAATTATACACATTCTTTCACTGACAGTTTTTGTATAAAATCAAATTAAACAGATTTATTAGATTCATATTCAAATCACTGCTTCAATTTCCATTTGTAATATACACTGTACATGTAAATAACATGCCATGAAGTACAGACAGTAATCAGACATGGGGATGGGGGGTGGAAATAGCCCATTGAAGTCCCTCATTTGACTATTCAAAGTATATACTGTATGTAATACATGCTTGTACAGGGCGAGTATGAATTACATTTTCTTTGGATAAGAGATTTTTTTTTTGTTCCTTCAGCTTGAAAGTCTGCAAGATCCAACAACCCCTGTAGAAGCTATTCTCAGAAGATGCAATAAGCAACAGGTAATTTTATATCAGGTCATATATAATTGTAGTCAAGTACCGTGTCTTTGATTTTAAATGTTTGAGAAAATTGGAATTTTAAACACATGAAAAAAACATAGAATTGAAATAAAAGGAAAATAAGAACTGGTATTTGAATTCCACTGAAAGAAAAATATTTAGAAAAGTCTGGGGGCGGGGGTTGCAAAAAGGCACCATTCATATTGTGAGTGCCAGATAAAGTCATCTGCTCTCTGTTAGGAATATCAATACTTTGTCGTGTTGATTAGGGATAATGTTTTTAAAAAGTGGGCACATGTAACTTTGAAGATATTTAAAATACACAAAAAAATGTAACAACATTAATTGTCAGATTATATAATACAGGGAAGACATAGAAGTTATTAATTTTATCTTTTAGTTCTTTTTTAATGATTATTTTGTACATTTTTAGAACCAGGGATATTCACTGTACAATGAGTGATATAAATCAGATCTCACTTTGTTATTCAGTGATTCATTTAATAGCTTTGGAGTATGTTTTTGTGTTTCAGTATTCAGTGAAAAATGTAAATTGTATTTGTTCTTTGTTAATTCTTTGTTACATTTATTGGCTTTGAACAACTTGATATTGTTTCAGTATTCAGTGAAAATACATATCATTCAACAAAGCATTTACAGGGTCATTTTAACATTTTAATGACTATGTTATTTGTTATATTACAGATGATGTTACATTATTGTATAACAGAGTATAAAGACGTGAATGAGTTCCTATCATTGCTGGCTGTTAGATTAGGAAGATTAAAGAAAGGAGGTGTACCTGATGTTACTAGAGCAGCAAGAACTGTGTTACAGCACTGGAATATGTAAGTCTTCAAGTCATCATAACTATAGAAAATTCCAATTCTGTGATACTTTCAAATGATAGGTTTTAGAATATGTGACTGACAATGTTAAAAAATTTTCATAGTGGTATGAATTAAAGGAATAAAAGAACAGATTTTTACAATACATACACCAGCTAGCTTTCAGGAGTATGTTGTACTACACAGGTACTTGGTAAATGTCTGAAATAATATACAGAGAATCATTTGGGGCTCTTCTTCAAATGTTCAAAGCCAGAATGATGCCATATGACATTAACTAGGTTTGATGTCACTTAAAATTCAATCAAGAAAAATGAAACTTCTTAATAATGTGTGCTTATTGCAGTATTTTAGTTTGTATTTTCTAGTATATTGATTTATGGCTGTAATTGGCTCTTTGAATGTATTGAGTACACTTTAAGAGACCTGATAATTTAGCTGTTTTCACTAATTGATGTGTGGCTATTTTCAGGGGCAAAATAAATTATTACACTCATCCTCCTGAGAAGTCAGAATCACAAGTGAGTTCAGAAATAGTTACACAGATGGGGAAGGAGTTTGACATGGATAGTTTACTCTCAGATCAACAAAAAATTATTGATAGTAAGTACTTATTAAAGACTGGATTTGTAAAATAGAAAAATGGAATGTATTATGTTTTCATATTTATCAAACACAATATATATACTTGAATATATATAGGTATAATATCTTGACCTAGTTCAGTACCCTGCAGAATAGATCTAGCCTCTATATAGAGATAGATATCTCTAATAACCAAATATGATGAATTTACCAGTCTTCACAATTTTTTTCTTATTTTTATGGCTAACATAAAACAAGCATATAGATAAGTTAGGAAGAACTTAGTTTTGCAGGGCGTCATACCAGTAAAATAAGATTCCAGTAGATTACATGTTTTTCTGTGATTGATCCAGTACAGCATATGTCTGATGCCATTTTTACTCCATCACTTGTTGAAATAATTCTTTTTGGATAAGTTTGGAAAAGTTGGTTAGTATTATCATGATTTTAAAAGTGTTACAAACTTGTTAAATCAAGACAAGTCTAATACTTAATCTCATCAAAGGGAATCTTTCACATACCAGTAGGCACAATAAAATGCTGCATGTATACCTTAATATCGGTATCCATTCACAATTATTTACATCATAAAAATATGACAAAAATTTTTCTTTTTAGTATATGTCCAATAATTTGCATATGTATTACATTACTTTTTCAGCTTTAGATAAGAAAAGTACAAAACATATGTTAGTGGAGTCCATGGGTCCTGCTAAAGTTGTTATGAATGTTGAAGATGTTAACAAGGTAACCATGGAAACTGGAGATGACGATAATGAGGAGGAGGAAGATGATGATGAAGAAGAAGAAGATGATGATGAAGAAATGGATGAGGTGGAAAGTGAAGAGGAAGAACAAAGTGGAGAAGAGATGGAAGGTGATGAAGATGAAGAGGTACTTTCCTAGTTCTGAAACCAATATTCTATTTATAGCATGAAATCACATCAAATATTCTATTTATAGCATGAAATCACATCAAATATTCTATTTATAGCATGAAATCACATCAGATATTCTATTTATAGCATGAAATCACATCAAATATTCTATTTATAGCATGAAATCACATCAGATATTCTATTCTAAGTGCATTTAAATTTTGTCATAAGCTCAGATATTCCTTGATAGCTTCGACACTGAAGATTTTTTATGCCCCCGGGCATATAGTAATTGAACCGTCCGTCCGTCTGTCCGTACGAGGTTAACCTAGAACGGCAAGTTGGATTTTTCTTAAGTTCTACCTGTACCAATGGCTTCTAAGTTTACACACTTACTATTCAATACAAAGTACATGATCTGGGCAAGTTTCATAACTCTGGCTTTCATATTTACCAAGTTATTGCCCTTTTCAGCACTTAGAAAATGAATAATGGTTAACCTAAAACGGCAAGTTGGAAATATCTTAAGTTCTATCTATACTAATGGCTTTATAATTTCCACACTTACTTATCAATACAAAGCACACGATATTGCCAAGTTATATAACTGTGTCATCCATATTTCCCAGTTATTTCCCTTTTTTCACTTTGAAAATAGGGCCTTGTCTGGTTAACCTATTTCGGCAAGTTGGATTTATCTTAAATTTCTCCTAATTGCTTAATTTCTTTACTGATATCTTTCATATTTTGTAGGTGGATACCTTTGATGGTCCTCTAATTTTTTCGGAGTAAGCGGTCTCTAGGGTCAAGGTCACTGGTTTAAAAAATAAATATAAACCTTTTTGCTCATACAGCCTTTATTTTTAGCTCACCTGTCACAAAGTGACAGGGTGAGCTTTTGTGATCGCTTTTCGTCCGTCGTCCGTCCGTCCGGCGTCCGTCAACTTTTACTTTAAATGACATCTCCTCATAAACCGCTGAGCCAATTTCATTCAAACTTCACAGGTATGTTCCTTTGGTGGTCACCTTTAAAAATTGTTCAAAAAATTTAATTCCATGCAGAACTCTGGTTGCCATGGCAACCAATAGAAAAAACTTAAAATATCTTCTTTTAAAAAACCCAAAGAGGTAGAGCTTAGATATTTGGCATGAAACATCTTCTAGTGAGTGCCTATCAAGTTTGTTCAAATAAAAGCCCTGGGGTCAAAATTGGCCCCGCCCCAGGGGGTCATTGATTTTCCCTATATGCATATAGTAAAAACTTATAACATCTTCTTTTAAAGAACCCAAAGAGCTAGAGCTAAGATATTTAGCATGAAACATCTTCTAATGAGTGTCTATCAAGTTTGTTCAAATAAAAGCCCTGGGGTCAAAATTGGCCCCGCCCCAGGGGGTCATTGATTTTCCCTATATGCATATAGTAAAAACTTAAAAAAACTTCTTTTAGAGAACCCAAAGAGCTAGAGCTAAGATACTTAGCATGAAAGATGTTCTAATGGGTGTCTACCAAATTTGTTCAAATAAGAGCCCTGGGGTTAAAATTGGCCCTGTCCCGGGGGTCATTGATTTTCCTAATATGTGTATTGCAAAAGCTTTTTAAAAAAATCTTCTTTGAAAAAACCCAAATAGCCAGAGTTAAGATATTAAGCATGAAACATCTTCAAACAAAATTGGCCCTGCCCCGGGGGACATTAATTTTCCTTATATGTGTATAGCAAAAACTTAAAAATCTTCTTTGAATAAAAACAAATAACTAGAGTTTAGATATTAAGCATGAAACACCTTCTAGTGAGTGTCTTCAAAGTTTGTTCAAATAAAAGCCCTGGGGTCAAAACTGGCCCCGCCCTAGGGATGTCATTGCTTTTAACTATATGTGTATAGTAAAAACTTAAAAAATCTTTTTTTTAAAAACTCAACGACCTAGACCTTAGATGTTTAGCATGAAACATCTTCTAATGGGTGTTTAACAATTTTGTTCAAATAAAAGCCCTGGGGTTTAAACTGGCCTCGCTCTGTGGGCCTATATACAGGTGAGCGACTTCAGGGCCATCATGGCCCATTTGTTTAGTTGATGTCTTAGTTTAATACAAACACCTCCTTCTTTGGGTGTAGTATGGGGTCATTTGGGTCAAGGTCAATGTTACCAATGTCAAGGTCACCAATGTTAAAAATAGATTTTTACATTTTTAGCTCGACTTTTTTTTTTTGAAAAAAAAAGTAGAGGTATTGTTATAGTCGGGTCGGCGTTGCAGTTGCCGTTGCCGTTCCCGTCCGCAAACTTGTACCTGGATCATAACTTTTTAGCTCACCTGAGCATGCTCAGGGTGAGCTTTAAGGATCGATGATTGTCCGTCGTCCGTTCACATTTAGTTGTTAACACTCTAGCGGTCGCATTTTTGCCTCAATCATCATCAAACTTGGTCAGGGTGCTTATCTAGTTGATAGCTCGAATGAGTTCTAACATGGGTCATCTCGGATGAGAAACTAGGTCACAAGAGCTAAAAATAGAAAAACCTTGTTAACACTCTAGAGGTCACATTTTTGCCTCAATCATCATCATACTTGTTCAGGATGTTTGTCTAGGTGATAGCTCGGATGAGTTCGAACATGGGTCATCTCGAATGAAAAAGTAGGTCACCAGAGCTAAACATAGAAAAACCTTGTTAACACTCTAGCGGTCACATTTTTGCATCAATCATCATCAAACTTGGACAGGATGCTTATCTATTTGATAGCTCGGATGAGTTCGAACATGGGTCATCTCAGATGAAAAAGTAGGTCACCAGAGCTAAAAATAGAAAAACCTTGTTAACACTCTAGAGGTCACATTTTTGCATCAATCATCATCAAACTTGGTCAAGATGCTTGTCTAGGTGATAGCTCGGATGAGTTTGAACATGGGTCATCTCGGATGAAAAAGTAGGTCACCGGAGCTAAAAATAGAAAAACCTTGTTAACACTCTAGGGGTCACATTTTTGCATCAATCATCATCAAACTTGGTCAGGATGCTTATCTTGTTGAAAGCTCGGATGAGTTCGAACATGGGTCATCTCGAATGAAAAAGTAGGTCACCGGAGCTAAAAATAGAAAAACCTTGTTAACACTCTAGCGGTCACATTTTTGCATCAGTCATCATCAAACTTGGTCAAGATGCTTGTCTAGGTGATAGCTCGGATGATTTCGAACATGGGTCATCTCGGATGAAAAAGTAGGTCACCGGAGCTAAAAATAGAAAAACCTTGTTAACACTCTAGCGGTCACATTTTTGCATCAGTCATCATCAAACTTGGTCAAGATGCTTGTCCAGGTGAAAGCTTGGATGAGTTCGAACATGGGTCATCTCGGATGAAAAACTAGGTCACAGGAGCTAAAAATAGAAAAACCATGTTAACACACTAGAGGTCACAATTTTGCCTCAATCATCATCAAACTTGGTCAGGATGTTTGTTTAGGTGATAGCTTGGATGAGTTTGAACATGGGTCATCTCGGATGAAAAAGTAGGTCACCGGAGCTAAAAATAGAAAAACCTTGTTAACACTCTAGTGGTCACAATTTTGACTCAATTGTCATCAAACTTGGTCAGGAAACTTGTCTAGGTCATTGCTGGGAATAAATCGAACATGGGACATCTCGGATGAAAAACTAGGTCACAGGAGCTAAAAATAGAAAAATCTTGTTAACACTCTAGTTGCTACTGTTTTGATCCAAATATTCTGTTAATTGGTCTGAAAGTTTGTTTTGATGATTTTCTAAGTCAAGATCGAACATGGGTCATCTTGGATGAAAAACTAGGTCACACCGCCCAAATATGGAAAAACCTTGTTAACATTCTAGGGGTCACATTTTCAACTCAATTATCATCAAACTTGGTTAGGATGCTTGTCTGGGTAATTGTTTGGATGAGTTCGAAATCGCATGTGAAACTAGGTCACCGGAGCTAAAAATAGAAAAATCTTGTTAACACTCTAGTTGCTACTGTTTTGATACAAGTATCCTGGAAATTGGTCTGAAAGTTTGTTTTGATGATTTCTAGGGTCAAGTTTGAAATATGTGTCACCTGGGTAAAAAACTAGGTCACACTGCTCAAATATGGATAATCCTTGTTAACACGTGTAGTGGTCACATTTTTGACTCACCTGTCATGAGATTTGGTCAGAATGCTTGTCTTGGTAATTGTTTGGATGAGTTTGATAAGTCAGGTGAGCGATCTAGGGCCATCATGGCCCTCTTGTTTATTTCTTGGTGTATTGTCTTCATACTTAGCCACAACAAACCCTTGGGACAAGACCTTTCAGTAGAACCACACTAACCTTGACCTTCATTCCATAAATTGACCTTGACCTTCAAGGTTAAAAGTCCAATTTTTGCTTGTTCATTGGCTGTTATTGGCTGTAACTTTATTTTTTGAATGGATTGTCTTCAAAACTTGAACATAATAGTCTTCAAGGATATCCCTTAAAAAATAACCAGCCAGACCTTGACCTTCACTCAAAAATGACCTTGACTTTTGAAGGTCAAATTATTGAAATTTCATTTCTTTGGCTATTATTGGCTGTAACTTTGTTATTTTTGAATGGATTGTCTTCAAAACTTGAACATAATTATCTTCATGGATATCCCTTAAAAATAACTAGACAGACCTTGACCTTCACTTGTAAATGACCTTGACTTTGAAGGTCAAATTATTGAAATATTCATTTTTTTGGCTATTACATGTATTATTGGCTGTAACTTTGTTATTTTTGAATGGATTGTCTTGAAACTTGAACATAATAATCTTCAAGGATAACTCTTAAAAATATACTGAAAGATCTTGACCTTCACTCATTAATGACATTGTCTTTGAAGGTCAAATTATTGAAATTTTCATTGTTTTGGCTGTAACTGACTGTAACTTTGCTATAATTGAAGGGATCAACTTCATAATTTTTATTATAACAGAACATTGTTGTTTATCAAACCCAAATTTGCTTGGGCTCTTTAATGACCTTGACCTTGAAGGTTAAATTACTGA